ACTAATAATACAGCATGCAAAAATTAAATATTATGTGCTACAAAATATATTTATTTAGACGGTTACTATGTCAATGTTCTAGTTACTGACTTATACCTAAGTACATTTTGTTACAGAATTATAAAATTATTACACATATACAGCATTAGGACCATTTATAACTTATTCACATTTAACCTCTCACGCGCCTCTCGTACACTCGAAAAGCGAATTAACTATTCTGTTCAATCAAGTAAAGAACGGGTTGCAAACTTGAAAATATACGTCACAGAAAAAATATCCAATCGGCGCGCGTTTCTCGTACACCCGTGTGTACGATTGCGCGATGGGCACTCAACTCTCTCGTACACGCGAGAGGTCCATCGCGGGCTAGTCACGTGAATATACTGAAAAAAAGCTCTACTAGTTTCGAACCACAGAGGGGTTCTTCCACGTGACCAGCGTGCGCGGTGATAAACAACTGACTATAATACCTGATACCATCTCCACTACAGATACAGCACGCAAATAATCAACATGTCTGCCCAGACGACGGCCGCCAACGTGCAGGATATCATAGAGGCCAGGCTTGAGAAACGGACCAAGGGGAACTATGTACCTGCAGGAGGTACGGGAATCATCGTCTCTTACTACAACAACTTTACACATATTATAAAGCTAATGGATTTGTTTGGTTGAACCGAGATAATGTCAGAAACACCAAGATAGAGTTGATACAATCTTTTTGGTTGAATAGTCCATTTGTCGAGGATGGCCAATTGGTCTTAGAGCATTTTTTTTTGTTTCTTTATGGGATAAGCTGGTAAACGAGCAGACGGATCACCTGATAGTAAGCAATCGGCGTCGTCCATGTTCACCCGGAACACCAGAGGCGTTACAAGTGCGTTACCGGCCTTTTGGGGATTAGGAATTTGAGGATTGTTGGGGATTCGGGGATTAGGGAGATTAGGGAGGGGGTAATTAGGCCTCCAATAACCTTACTTACACTCTCTCCCACACTTAAAAAAACATTATTGGGGTCCCCTCCAGAACACCTACCCAAATAGTACTCTGACAAAGCTGGCCGACTGATGACAGTGGGCCAGACACCAAAAAAACCAGATTTTTTTTTGGAATAATGGTATTCTAACCATTTTTTTTTTTTGAGAGGGGAAGGGGTTTGTATTTCCAACTTATGCTGAGCTGGAGACGCGGTCCCATAAGGCGACTTTACCCGCGACCCCGGGCCATTTGCCTCATCACACCTGCATTTGTCGGTCCAGGTAAGAAGATGATAGCATTCATGGACGACATCAACATGCCAGTCCGTGACTACTATGGGTCCCAGCCGCCGCTGGAACTGGTGCGGTTATGGCATGACTACGGATACTGGTTCGATAGGGCCAAGCAGTGGAGGAAGAATGTCAAGGTAGGCCACATACTTTAAGCAGAGAAAGGGAGAGTTATAAAGGGAGAGTGTAATAGAGAGTGGCTGAATGACAGAGACTGTGGCCAAGATGATGACATTACCAAACACTTGGGTCAAGGATGACTGAGATTAACGCAGATTTAGGCCTAGGCGCTGTTCGTAGGTGAGAATAACTGCAACTGAGACCAAGACTAACATCGAGACTGATACTCTGAGTTAGATAGAAAAAGAATAAGACCAAATCACAAATTAGTAATACTACCTATATAATATCTCCGGTAGAACATGGTACTATGCGGCGCGGCGGGTCCCCCCGGCGGGGCCCGGTCCCCGCTGCCGGCGCGGCTACTGTCGTGCTTCCACTCCTTCTACCTCGCCTCGCCCACTCAACAACAACTCGTCAAGATATTCGGCACCATGCTCGGCCAGCATCTGCTGGACTTCGACGAGGAGACCAAGTCTGTCGGTTAGTTTTAAACCAATGTTTTTATGGCATTTTTTAAGGGGAAAATCATCGAATGACTTCTCCCGCCTAGGTGAGGCGGGAGGGAGTGTCAGACTCTTACTGACTGAAAACCACCCCGTTCCTACTCCTGCACTTCGAGCCGGAGCCCCGGCAACCCGTGAAGCCCTCCGCGACTCCGTGTCAGCATCAGTCCTATTGGGCCCCATCCGTGGTGGTCTGATTGCTCCTTGAGGCGCGCCCACAATACGACGCGCCTCACACTCGGGAATGATTTATGGCATAAGGTGGCAAATTAGCTAGCTAACCTGAGGGACTACTTTGTAGATACGAGTTTGTTTTGAGTTTCAACATTATGCAGCACTCTGATTGGTTAGTTCATTGGAGCAGGCCAATCGGAGCACAGAACACTGTAACGTTTCGATATCGTTAAAAATAACAAAAACTCATACTGTACCCTTTGAAAGTAAGCGGTGGATGTCACTCACGGATAACAGCAATATTAGAGAAGATGTAAGTGTATTGACTGCCTTTTAGGGATTGAAAGTTGGAAAATAAAGGATTGGGAATTATTATATTGGTGATTTTCATAATTTTTTTTTGAAGTCGTTGGGAGACCTATGTTCAGCAGTGGATGTCCTGTGGCTGATATGATGATGATGATGATGGTTTTCTTACTGGTTTTTGGTAAAGCTGACCACAGCTTTCCAGCTTCCAGCTAGGTAGATCGATACCAATTGTTCCGGATGAGCCGGCCCATTCGTGCTATGATTCAGCTCTCTCACACTTACCTATTTGGAAACAATTTGTTCTGTCAGAATCATGATCTGATATTTGTACCAGGTAAGACGGTGCTGATAGCGACAATAGACATGTTCAACAACGTGGTAGCTAAACTACTGCCCACTCCAAGCAAGATGCACTACCTCTTCAACCTGAGAGATATCTCCAAGATCTTCCAGGTAAACAAACAAATAATGTTTTCTAAGAAAAATGGTATTTAGCGGTGTGGTGTAAAGTCTAGTTTGCGAAGTCATCACTGCACCTAGCTGGAGGTCTCCAGCCATATCCGACGTACTGTTATAACTCTATTATTATCTATTAAATGGTTACTTAAAACCCAGTCTTTACTATTACTAAATGTCATGGTGGCCTGAAGGTTTAAGACGCCCGCTTCTCATGGATGAGGGGCGGGGTCGAAACCTACCAACGGTAAATACTAATGTGACTTTTTCCGAGTTACATGTACTTCTAAGATTATTTAGACACTACTAATAAACGGTGAAGGAAAACATTGTGAGGAAACCTGGACTTATCCTTATCCTTACTAATATTATAAATTGGAAAGTGAGTTTGTTTGTTTGTTCCGCTTTCACGCCGTAACTACTAAACCGATTACTTTGAATTTTTGCAGACGTAAAGTTAGAGGTCTGGAATAAATAATAGGGTACTTTTTCATCCAGGAAAAACTTGATATTCCCGAGGGAAAACAAAAGTATTGGTATAGATGGCGCTGTGTGTATTGGTATATGTCACATTGGCTACTTTTTATCCTTATGTGACGCGAGCGAAGCCGCGGGTAAAAGCTAGTAATTTCTAATTATAATATTTGACAAGGAACTCAGCTATGCTTGAGGCTCATATTTATGAGCAGAGTTCTGTGACGCAGCGACTCTTGCAGTGCTACTGATTATACTTCTAATTATAAGTTTATCGCCAAACCACATTGAGCAAGCGTGGTGAGTAATGCTCAAACCTTCTCCGTGTGAGAAGACGATGCTGATCAACCCAGTTTTTATCAATTATTTTGAAACAAAATTCACTAAGAGATAGTTCAAGTGCTTTGAGTTAGGTAGTATTGCATGGTGCAATCCTGATAAATTAAAACAAAATACAATTGGTATCCAGGGCCTGCTACGTAGTAACAAAGACTATACGAACACGAAGCCGCGGTTCCTTCGGCTGTGGATACACGAATGCTTCCGAGTCTTCTGCGACCGCCTTACTGAGGAGAAGTAAGATATTCTAATATTTTTTACTAAGGAATGTATAGGTACTTTATTACATTTTATGTGTTTGTTTAAATGCGCTAATCTCCAGTACTAGTGATTCGATTTCGATAATTCTATTTGTATTGGATAGTTCAGTAGTCGCGTAAGGGTTTTTAAGAAAAGAAAGAAAGAAAGAAAATACATGTATTTATTAGGCCACGACACACAACAATGACATTTTTGTTTTGTCGTCTAAAACCGATTGTGGCTCTCAAATGGATAACTCATCCAATACTAGTGTGGGGCAACGTTAGAAGTTGTTTATTGGATGTACTATTTTATTTGACTGCCTTGTTGCCGAGTGGTCGCAAGTGAGACTGCCGGGCAAGGGGTTTTGGGGTCGATTCCCGGGTCGGGCAAAGTAATACGGAGCTTTATTTTAAAAAAAATATTAGGAGTAGCACGGAGTCTGAAATTGTGCCCGGTATACGGCAATAGGCTCACTCCCTACATGGGACTCATAGCATAAAATAGTGAAAAGTGGGTGTTACATTGTACAGTGGCATAATGTATTCCTTTGCCTACCTCAAGGCGCGATGTTATGCTATTTTATTTTTTGCGTAGAGACCGCGATTGGTTCCTGAACCACGTGGGCGACATGCTAGGCAAGCACTTCGAGCTGACGTTCCACGGCCTCTGTCCGTCCAAGAGTCCTCCCTTGTTTGGCCACTTCCTCAACCCATACGAGGTGTATGATGATATGAATGACCCTGACGCGTTGCGCAAGTAAGTTAACTTTTTTCCTATACTCGGAATTTTAATTCGATTCCAGATTTGACAATTTCAGTGTTGCAACGTTATGACAAGTACTAAATAGTGACGTTGCGAAATTATTCGATATGGAAATGCAATATTTCTGGATCGATTCTTCTCGTTTATAATTTTACTCCCGTAAACTAAGTATATCAGGAAATTAAATATTTCTGAACCGATAATTTAGTTTTGACGATTAATTAACGATCTGAGACTTTTCTTTTATAATTGTGTGTGAAATAAATACAAAAATGTAATCATGAAGGAACATGACAAATAAAACAGATAGATGTATTATGGTAATAAGTTATTTTATAAATTGTCGTCGTCATCGCTATCGCTATCCTGTCACTTTCTGTAACATTTATTATAAAACACACACACTGATTGTTTATCGATTTTTGTGTTTATCACTACACTATTATATGTGGTATCATTATTTCACAAAATGACAGTAGCTATTGTCAAATCTGGAATCTAATTAAAATTCTGACTATAGATAAAAATCTCTTCGGTTTGAAGAGCAGTAGCAGGAACCGGGGAGGTTTTTAGTCAGTCATGGGGTAGTAGACAGTGTATGAAAATTAAAAATGTAATAATGGGTGTTTCTTCGAAAAACTTTAACTTTTATTTAACAAATTATTATCCTCCCGCGTTGTTAAGCATCGCGGTAACTTATTAGCATCTGTATTTTCATTGGATTGGGTGAGAGCAGTGACATGGCTCAATTTCTTGAAACTAAACTTAATATTTTAATCAGCAGAACTGTTGACTTTGGCTTAAGGGTAATGAGGCCGTTAATTTTTTCGGTTAATTTTGTAGAATCAACCAATTAGTCCGTCAGTTAGATAATGAAATAATATTAGACTCATATTTTTTATTTTGTCGTATAAAAACATTACTTAGATAAAACGGAGTTAGGTTTAGGAGTGGAAGGTCGTTACGTCACGCTACCCTATAAAATGTAGTAAATGGTGACGTCACACGATATTTCAAATCAATATATCGTCGAAATTATTTAGTTTTGTAAGAAAAAAGAAATACGTGTCTAATGTTTTATAACTTACCAGACGGACATTCAAATAAAATTTAGGATACTACCCTTTTGCCTGACATTCCCTCTTGCCTTACCCTTGCGAGTGAAGGCATTAGATGATTTTCCCACCTTAAAAAAAACTCTCCTTTAGTTAATCGAGTATGAGTTATTGGTTTATTTGATTATTGTTACTATAAATCACAGTACAGTGTAAGATAATAGATTCAATATTTCGCCGTAGCAATTAGCGCAATTCATGTTGCTCAAAATTGGGTACTTTCCTTAATCAAAAATAAATTATTTCGACTGTTCAGTACAATAAAATATTACAAAATAATGACACTTTCATTAATAGTTTTTATGACTAACTTAATTTTAGTATTTTTCCAGCAGTTTTTATGACTAACTTAATTTTAGTATTTTTCCAGCAGTTTTTTAAGAAATAAGTACGCTGTTTGACGCTTAAAAAATGTGACGTCACAATACACAATCTCGTACAAAATTTATAGAAAACTGTCGTTTTTGACGGTTCGAAAAAAGTATTGAATTTACTAGTTGACAAGTACCCAATTAGCTCATTGCTCATTCCAGGTATACTTGCGACGACGACGTTCGATTGTTGAATATTTCTGAGCATGCTCAATGGAACGCCTTTCAGCATGCTATTTTAGAGCATTTGTAATTAATCGTATCTATTGTACTGAATGTATATTTTTCACTGGAAAGCCAACCTTCTCTTCTACATTCTTTGATAGATACATATTGAACCAACTAGAAGAGTACAACAGTTGTCCCGGAGTGGTGAAGATGGACCTGGTGCTATTCAAGGACGCCATCGAGCATGTTTGTCGTATTGTCCGCGTCATCTCACAGCCTAGGGGGAACATGCTCTGTGTTGGTATTGGTGAGTGTAGCAAATCAATAGACTTGAGTTATAGAAACTGTTATTATTAGTTAAACTAGCTTCTGCCAGCGACTTCGTACGCGAATCAATCAATCCCGTCTCAGTCTCGGACTGAGACTGTGACTGAGACTGAGACTGAGACTGAGACTGAGACTGTGACTGAGACTGAGACTGAGACTGAGACTGAGATTGAGACTGAGTTTGAGACTGAGACTGAGACTGAGACTGAGATTAGACTGAGACTGAGACTGTGACTGAGACTGAGACTGAGGCTGAGACTGAGACTGAGACTGAGACTGAGACTTAGACTGAGACTGACACTGAGACTGAGGTTGAAGTTGACACTGAGGTTGACAAGTAGATGGGAGTTTCTTGCCTGTTCTTCTCCATAGGAGTCCAAACATTAGAACGAGCAAAACCTTCACTAGGAGACTGGTTGGCAGACTGACCCTTTTATCATTCAATAACATATTGTTTGATATTCCAAAGTGGTTTATTGGTCTAATAAACTGACATCATTATCTAACATGTCGGAACGATTGCAATCATTATTGGGCCGACAGTATTCTTAGTGCGTCGTTGTTCGTTCGGAGTCCCAGCCAAAAGTGCCTGCTGTTCTGCGATGTTGAAAGTCACTCAATCTCCCCCACTCTTAGGCGGACATGACGTCACAATTAACTCTTGAAGCGCGCCATCTTTATTCATTTTGTTGTTATTCCTTCGTTTTGTAGTAAATCGAAATTCCGTACTAATGACCGTTCCGACAAACATGAATGCTTCCGAGACAATTTACTTGTTGTTCCTTCAGGTGGGTCTGGCAGAACTTGTCTGACGCGACTGGCGACCTATATCTGCGAGTACACGTCGTTCACAGTGGTCGTCACCAAGACATATGGTATCAAGGAGTTCAGGGAGGATTTAAAGGTAATTTGGATATTCTAAGTTTTGTGACAGTCTTTAGAAGTATCACTTGGTTAGAATGTTATGTGTATGTACAGTACATACATATACGCTTGCGCTAATTGCCCTTTCTAATGCTATGACCTTTTCGTTATTTGTTCTTACAACAGTATCTACCTAGAAAAGAAATGTCGAAATATATTAATTCACCAATGTTGGAAAAGTAGAAGTATATTAACTAAAAGTCGCGGTTTACTCAGGTGAATATACTGAGAAAAGCTTTTTTATGGGATAAGCCGGTAAACGAGCGAGCGGACGGATCACCTGATGGTAAGCAATCGGCGTCGCCCATGGACACCTGGAACACTAGAGGCGTTACAAGTGCGTTACCCCCTATTACATGGGACTCATAACATAAATAGTGAAAAGTAGGTGTTATCTTGTATAGTGGTATAATGTGCACCTCTGCCTACCCCTTCGGGAATAAAGGCCTGATGTTATGTGTTTAATGAAATAGGTAAAACTTTGTGTATTTTTTATACAACAAGACCTCCCAATTAATACAATAATAATATTCCTTAAAATTCTTTACCTTCTTCCGTCTTCTACCAGGTTCTATACACAGGCTGTGGAGTAGACCAGAAGAAGACCACGTTCATATTCTCCGACACACAGATTGCTGAGGAGACCTTCACTGAGGTCATGAACAATTTACTGAGCAGTGGAGAGGTCACCAACCTGTACAAACCTGATGAATTTGAGGATGTAAGTGATTGTTATAAAAGTGGCTTTGTTCTAATAGTAATAAGGTCGATTTTCGATAATTCAGGGTCAATTCTACACTTTGATCTTAGCCAAAAGGCCGAGAAGCGAGTTTGTGCAGGAGTAGGTACTGGGTGAATTTTAGTTAGTCAGTCACTCACCTAGATGGGAGAAGTCATTTGATGATTTCCCCCCCAAGGGAAAGGGTCAAGACATTTGATAATTTCCTCCCCCAAGGGAAAGATTTAGTTCATAGAAGACTTAGAAAGGTGTAAAGGCTATCTAATATCATCGGAAGCTTGACAACTTACGATAATATTATTTGCGCTACTTTATATTCTTCATCATCAAAGTCTTCATTAAAAGAGTGGGTTTTGGATATAGAAATCTGATACAAAGTGCGCAGTAAATGGCAAGAGGCTTACCCTCTATTACATGGGACTCATAACATAAATAGTGAAAAGTAAGACTTACATTGTATGTACAGTGGCATTAAGTGCCATAATGTGAACCTCTGCCTACCTCTATTAAACGTCTGGATTGGCCCAGTAATAAAATAGATTCAAGAACCTAACCAATGGTGTTTCTGCAGATAAAGAGTGCGTTAGAGAAGCCAATGAAAGCGGCCGGGTTGATGCAGACTAATGAAGTGATATACTTGTTCCTGGTGGACCGGGTGCGGAGTCACATGCATATTGTGCTGTGTTTCAGCCCTATTGGGGAGGAGTTCAGGTATTTTTTTTATGGAATAGAAGGTAAACAAGCAGACGGATCACCTGATGGTAAGCAATCAGCGCCGCCCATAGATGAGTCACAGGTGCGTTGTCGGCCTTTAGAAATATATTTTCATACATTTATAACTATCGAGAGACATACTAAATTACTACTAAAATTCGTCGGGTACTCACGTGAATATACTGAGAAAAGCTCTACTGGTTTCGAGCCACAGAGGGGGTCGCGGTGATGTCGCTCACGCTGCTCATGAGGAAGAGCTCCTTTGTGGCTCGAAATTAGTAGAGCTTTTCTCAGTACGTGAGTAAGCCTCGATTTTCAGTTAACATTCTATTTTATCTACAATGTTACTGTTATTAGATTTAATTAAAGTTACCTAAGTACAAAATAGATTACATATGATCATGGAGCTTAAAATTCATTAAGGCGGAGATTTTTTAAACATCAATGTACAAAGTCAAAGTCATTTATATCAATTAGACCAGGAAGGTACTTTTGAACGTCAACAAAAACATTAAGTGGAGTTATTTGCTCATTCCAAGGTGTAGATTCCTATGGAGGAAAACGAGCAAGAGACTCCATAGGTTAATTTTTTTTTAATACAATTCGTAATAGTTCCTTGTTTGGTCTGAGAATCCGAGGTGCTTCGATCGTTAGTTGCGTAGTTGCGTTGTATGCATACTTACGCCATTGCCATGAAGTAAGACAGATACTACCAATCTCTATTTCTGCAATTAAATTCCATGTATTCGAATGTATTTTAAAACTTACACACCAGAGTTGCAAGTGCGTTGCCAGTCTATTGGTGCCTGGGGATTTAATGATTGGGGATTTGAGAATTGAGGATGAGAGGAGGTTACCGGAGGCCCAATTACCCTCTCCACCCTTCCTCAATTTCCCAAATTCCCACAATCCCTGAATCCCAAGAATCCTCAAATAGGTACCTAATCCTTAAAAGGTCGTTAACGCACTTGTATCGCCTCTGGCGCCAATTGCTTACCATCAGGTCTACTCGATCGTTTACCGAATTAATCATAAAAAGGAGGTTAAGGTCCCTCTTGGAGAAATACTTTTTGTTCTTGTTAATATTGTAGAAAAAAATACTTATGTACCGGTACTAATGTACCAGGAACCGTATCCGGCAGTACCCGGCCCTAATCAACGCGACAACCACGAACTGGTTCCTGGAGTGGCCGCGGGAGGCGCTGCTGGAGGTGGCCTACAAGTTCCTGCAGGGGGTCGAACTACTCGCCTCCATCACTGGACCTAGGGTGAGGGGAGCTTTCTGGACTATCTTAATTAGCCCTTTGAGCGCCTTATGCTGAAATACTCAATCGCTATTCAAGTTTAAGTCGCGCTTAAGTATAATAAATTCTTTATAAAATGAAAAGAAGAAAAGAAATGAAAAGAAAAACCATTTATTGATTCGCGACACACAGCAAGAATTTAGGTACCTACACACAAAAAAGCCAATGGTGCGTCGCAGCGCAAAAGGCTGGAGCTCAGCTTAATGTAGACCGGGCACGGAGGCGAGTACACGGCGCTGATTTTCACCCCCAGCTCGGTGCAAAATGACAGAGATGGCACGGTATTAAAGCGCCACTTAATATTAAGTTTTTTTTAGAAAAGTAGCCTTTCAGTATTCGGGTGATAAGATATAGACGACAAACAAAATTTACTTGAAATGATGTTTTGTAGTCGGCTATGACTGACAGTGGTGGATTGGCCCAATTTTTTTTTGTTATCTACTGCCACCTTACCGCTGTAAAGGTTAAAATATTGATTGCCTTATTGATTGAAAAGTACGGCTTACTGACACGAACCCTTCGAGAAAAGCTCTACTATATTTGTATTAGGTATATCAGTAGCAGCGCGACAGGCGCTGCGTTGCAGGTCGCGAAATGCTGCTCATGAATATGAGCCTACAGCATGGCTTGAAACTAGTCGAGTTCCTCGTCAAATAATTACGTGAGTAAGCCGAAAACATTTAATTTAAAGCTCTACTAATTTCAAGCCACACCGGGAGCTTTATTCATGAGCAGCGCCCGCGGTATTTTCTCTCTCACTCATAATTGAAGTAATGCTGCTTCATTATTCGAATAGGGACAGCCGAGCAAGAAGTCTTGGGTTTGATGCCTAGATAGGCCCAGATGGAATAAAAGAGTGGACTGTATTTCTTGGTTTAATAGGTTTTCTTGAGTAGGCTATTAGTACAAGTTAAATTCGCAATCCCGTCCGTTCTTGCTCGCGTTGTCGTCAGGTGTGTGTGGAGGGCGCGCGAGCCGTCGCTGCCCCGCCACGCCGCCCGCTCCCCTCTGCTTGAGATGCATGCATGTGTGTCTGCATGTGCGTGCGTGTTAACGTGTGCGTTAACAATGCCCAATTATTTACTTACTTTGGTTTTCCAGCAAATGAATAATTTCATTTATTAACAGGTTCGTAGACTGGAATCGTTGATAGAAAGTCGCGAGGACGTGCTCCGTGCGTCTGTAGCGTCCATAATGTCCCTCATCCACTCCTCTGTGGGGAAGTACTCCGTCAGGATGTGGCAGGAGATGAGGAGGACTAACTACGTCACTCCTACCAACTACCTGGAGCTTGTGGCTGGGTATAAAGAGTAAGTGCGTTTAGAGTAAATATATTAAGGCGGATATTGTTGTATTGGCTTTGATACGTCATACATCGACATCATATCATACATCACCCATCAACAGCCAATAAGTGCTCACAGCTAACCAAAAGCCTCTTCTCACGCGCAGAAGGTTTGAGCATTAATCCACCATATTATTTAATGCGGGTTGGCAATTTCATACTTATCATGTGAAATTATAAGCCCAGGTTCCCTCCCGATGTTTTCCTTTACCGTTCGTCAGTGATGTCTCAATAATCTTAGAAAGTACATATAACTCGGAATAAGTCACATTGGTACTTGCCGTTGGTAGGTTTCGAGCCCGCAATCCCGCATGCATGAAAACGGGCGCACCACGACATACATTATATTGGCAAAGGGTTAAAATGAGTAACAGTTTCAATCCAAAGATTTTCGCTTCAAATCGATTTTGGACATTGAATACATTTGACATGTATCGAGATCAATCCAGAGACTAAAGTAAAATCGATTATTAATTTCGTCCTTTACTCTTCTGAGAATTATTTTAGTGTTTTAGCTAAATTAGTATCATTAATAGATAGGTACCGTTGTTTTTACGCAAGTAGATTGTTTTTTACTTTTCACACAATATTCAAATTCAAATTCATTTATTAATTGTAAATACAGGTAATATTAGGGTCTTAAACTGTCAAACACCAAGCGGTCACCGGTGACAGCGACCTATTGTTCTATAATTGTGTCTATAATGACGGTACTCGACGAGAAGCGGGCGTTTTAAACCTCCGGGCCACCACAGGATTGTTAGTAGTACAGTAAATACTAGATTAAGTAACAATTAAATAGATAATAATATAGCTCTATCAGTACTCCAGATATGGCTGGAGTCTTCCAGCTAGGTGCAGTGATGACTTCGCAAACTAGACTTTACACCACACTGCTAAATACCATTTTTCTTAGAAAAATCACTATACAAAATGATAAAATAGTCGGAAACAATTATTTGGATTGGTTATTTTACCTAATGCCAATAAAATTATTAATTACTAGCTGACCCGGCAAACTTCGTACCGCCTAAAAATATTTTTCTCACCTTTTAAACCTTACCTGGACTTCCACGAACATTTCAAGACCAAAATTAGCCAAATCGGTTCACTCGTTCTCGAGTTTTAGCGAGACTAACGAACGGAAATTCATTTTTATTTATATAGCTTCCCATATATCCCATATATACGGCTTTCCACGCATGTATTATACATATGTATAAACCTTCCTTAAGAATCACTCTGTCTATCAAGAAAACGGCATCAAAATCCATTGCGTAGTTTTAAAGATCTAAGCATACATAGGGACTTTGTTTTATACTATGTAGTGATTACATCACATAAGATTAAATAAATAGACAAATGGTATTACTGTGTCATGCAGAATGCTCAATGCGAAGAGAATAGAGATAGCTCTACAAGCTAACAAGCTGCGGAACGGTCTCGGTAAGGTGGAGGAGACCACCAAACTCGTCGGACAGATGTCTGAGGAACTCGCTGAGGCCAAGGTATAACTATTTGTATTTTGGCGGCAAACGAGCAGACGTATCACCTAATGGTAAGCAATCGGCGTCGCTCGTGGACACCTGGAACACCAGAAACATTACAAGTGCGTTACCGGCCTTTTGGGGATTAGGAGTTTGAGGATCGTTGGGGATTCAAGGATTGGGGAGGGTAATTGGGCCTCCAGTAACCTCACTCACACGACGAAACACAACGCAAGCGTTGCTTCACGTCGGTTTTCTGCTCGGCCGTGGTATCACTCCGGTCGAGCCGGCCCATTCGTGCCGAAGCATGACTCTCCCACATTTTAAAATGGTAAACAATTCACCTGATGGTAACTTAGCCCAGGCTAAACAGCAGGCTTCTCCCTTTTTTCTCTAGCTTAGGTAACGTTACACCCGTCCCTTCAAACCTTTAAGTTAGACGTGACACCAAACGCTCCCTGTGTGCCGTAGGTGCAAGTGGGCCTGTACACGGAGCAGTGCATCGAGTACATGGGCGTCATCAACGTGCAACAACGCAACGCGGACGAGCAACAGCGCAGCGTCGCGGCGCGCAGCAAGAAGACGCAGGAGGAGGAGGTCCAGTGCAAGAAGCTGGCCGACGCCGCCATGAGGGACCTCGCCAGCGCCATGCCCGCGCTCGAGGAGGCCATCAAGGTACGAGCCAGGGCTTAGACGCAGGAGGAGGAGGTCCAGTGCAAGAAGCTGGCCGACGCCGCCATGAGGGACCTCGCCAGCGCCATGCCCGCGCTCGAGGAGGCCATCAAGGTACGAGCCAGGGCTTAGACGCAGGAGGAGGAGGTCCAGTGCAAGAAGCTGGCCGACGCCGCCATGAGGGACCTCGCCAGCGCCATGCCCGCGCTCGAGGAGGCCATCAAGGTACGAGCCAGGGCTTAGACGCAGGAGGAGGAGGTCCAGTGCAAGAAGCTGGCCGACGCCGCCATGAGGGACCTCGCCAGCGCCATGCCCGCGCTCGAGGAGGCCATCAAGGTACGAGCCAGGGCTTAGACGCAGGAGGAGGAGGTCCAGTGCAAGAAGCTGGCCGACGCCGCCATGAGGGACCTCGCCAGCGCCATGCCCGCGCTCGAGGAGGCCATCAAGGTACGAGCCAGGGCTTAGACGCAGGAGGAGGAGGTCCAGTGCAAGAAGCTGGCCGACGCCGCCATGAGGGACCTCGCCAGCGCCATGCCCGCGCTCGAGGAGGCCATCAAGGTACGAGCCAGGGCTTAGACGCAGGAGGAGGAGGTCCAGTGCAAGAAGCTGGCCGACGCCGCCATGAGGGACCTCGCCAGCGCCATGCCCGCGCTCGAGGAGGCCATCAAGGTACGAGCCAGGGCTTAGACGCAGGAGGAGGAGGTCCAGTGCAAGAAGCTGGCCGACGCCGCCATGAGGGACCTCGCCAGCGCCATGCCCGCGCTCGAGGAGGCCATCAAGGTACGAGCCAGGGCTTAGACGCAGGAGGAGGAGGTCCAGTGCAAGAAGCTGGCCGACGCCGCCATGAGGGACCTCGCCAGCGCCATGCCCGCGCTCGAGGAGGCCATCAAGGTACGAGCCAGGGCTTAGAGTCTTAGGACAGTTAGGGTCAATATTTATTTCATTTAACTAATTTCTGATAACAATACCAGAGTATAAATAAATTTGTTAAAAAACATAGAACCTTCGATCAACAATCATAAATTGTTAATCGAAGCATAGAACACATTTACAATTACAGATCACTCAGATTTTATAGTAATATAAAGTCTTAATAATAACAATCGTAATAGTTTACTTAATTTAGGCTTATACAACACAAGCAAACACAGCGAACTTCGTTTCGCCTTCAGGTGGCTTCGTTTTATGTAACATTTGGTGATGATGCTGATGATGAAATAAAATATACAAACAAACGTACTACGTACATTTTTTGTATTGTTAACCGATATGATTTTTTACAATATATAATAAGTTTATTTCTGGAGTACAGAGGGGATACCTATCTCCATATAATTTTAAATAAGTTAAGTATTAATAAATATATAACATGTAACTTTAATAACGCACATTCTGAAAATAGTTTGTCTGTTCAGAATCGTTAACTGAATCGATTTATATAATTTTTAGTATAGGTAATTTTTTATCCCAAAAATAATTAAAACTACGGAAATTATTGTCATATTAACCCTGTATTGTTAAAACAAATCGAAATGGACCGTAAGTCAAAGCAATAAGACTTTTAAAATCGCAGTTTTATTTGTATTCATACAAATTTTATCATTCAATACAAAATAAAGAAAAATAAACCTTATGGCAAGACCAGTAAGGATGCATATACATGTTAAATAAAAAATTTAGTGTATGTATTATGATTATAATATAATATTCTAATTGGAGTGTGCGTTAATTACGTTACATGTTGTATACAAATAACTAAAAACTAAAATATTTACAAACACCTTAAAAAATGTTACAAAATTCGTTAAAATTTTCCACAGGCCTTAGACGCCCTGAACAAGAAGGATATCACTGAAGTAAAGTCTTATGCGAAACCTCCATATAAGGTCGAAATGGTGTTGGAGGCTGTACTCATATTGCTGCAGGTAACATTTTAATCAATTTTATTTATTTATTAAGTTTTCTGCACCCATCTACCAGTCGAACCTAGATGGTTAAGTATATTCAAATATTTCTGTTATTTTCTACGACACAATTCGTTCCGAGATCTTTTAATAATCATCAAGTTACTTTGTGTAGAAATCTATGAAAATTACTGTCAAAATCAACCACCTTCATTTATGTTGACGACGACGGCACGGTTGGTGCGGTGGCTGTGCAAACGGCTGCCGCGCAAAGTATCGCGGCATCGAATCCCGCACGAAGCAACTTTTTGTGTGATCCACAGATTGTTGTTTCGGGTCTGGGTGTCATGTGTATGTGAACTTGTATGTTTGTAAACGCATCCACGACACACGAGAAAATCCTAGTGTGTGGCAATGTTTAAAAAAAAAAACAAAATATATGACTATTAATTGAGATGTTATACTCTAATTACATCAACCAACGGTGCTTAGGCATTTATCTGATATTTTTATAGCTAAGCTAATTGTAATAGGACTAACCATTTTACTATCGCCAACCGCATTAGCATAAGCTTATTAAAATCTATAAATATACCAGAAAGAACCAACTTGGGCTGAAGCGAAGCGTCAGCTCGGAGACCAGTACTTCCTGGACCGTCTGCGAGAATTTGACAAGGATAACATATCAGACAAGACGCTGAAGAAAGTTGGCACATACACTGTCAAGCCGGACTTTGATCCTGAGATAGTGGGCACGGTGTCTGCTGCAGCTAAATCTCTGTGTCTCTGGGTGAGAGCCATCGAGAAATATGGCAAGATATACAAGTAAGTTTAATATAAGAAATAATTTTATTGTTTGTTGCAAATTCAACAGGTAATAGCCGTGGAAGACTTAAAGGGTTGCCAGGGCTCCGGTTCGGTAGGAGTAGGAACGGGGTGGTCGTTAACCAGTAAGAGTCTGATACTCCCTCTCACCTCACCCAAGGCGGGGGAGAAGCCATTTGATGATTTTCTAGCTTAAATAAAAGTAGGGCCTGACTTCCATCCTTTGTTGATAAAATTGCTAAAAAGTTTATTATTCTGAGATAACATAAGGAAACCCATTCCGATTAATAAGACTGTATGATAAAGTTATTTGTCGACGCGGTAAGGCGACTAATTTCGAGCCACACCAGGGGTCCATGATCATTACCAGCATTACAGCTAACGCGAGAAGTGTCACGCAGTGAGCTTCACACAACTTAAATATGATAATTAAAAAAAATACAAATGGTCATGTCACCGTTTAAAATGACATAAACAACAACATATTATAATACCTATCTATATATCAGGATAGTAAAACCAAAGAAGGAGCGTCTGGAAGAGGCGTTAGAGTCGTTACGTATGAAGCAGCAGATCCTGGCGGAAGCTCGCGCCAAACTCCGCGAGCTCAGCGAGATGATCGCCAGGCTCCAGCGGGAGTATGATGAGAAGGTGGCGCAGAAGGAAGAACTCGAGAGACGATCCATGATGCTGCAACTCAAGCTCGAACGAGCTGAAGCACTTATTACTGGACTCTCTGGTAACTTACTTTCGTATGCCGTTTGTAACTCGTACTTGAATCTAGGTATAGTAACATAACATAAGGTAACGTAACATCACGCCTTTTTATCCCCGAAAGGGTAGGCAGAGGTGTACATTTCGGCACTAAATGCTACACTGTACAATGTAACATCCACTTTTTACTATTTATGTTATGAGTCCCATGTAATAGGGGGTGAGCCTATTGCCATATACCGGGCATATTTCCAGACTCCGTGCCACTACTGAGATTTTTAAAAACCCAGTAATACTTTGCCCGACCCGGGAAGCGAACCCGAAACCCCTTGCCCGGTAGTCGCACTTGCGACCACTCGGCCAACGAGGCAGTATAGTAACAATAAAAAGCTAAAGGGATTCTATGCTTTAATTAAGCTATGAAAATTATTAATGAAGTCGAGCAGCTTGTAAAACCAAGTCTATAAAGCCGCGCGAAATATTATAGGTGTCGGTTGTACTAATTTAAAAGTACAAACATGTTCTTTTTATGGGATAAGTCGGTAAACTAGCAGACGGATCACCTCATGGTAAGCAATCCGCACCGCCCATGGACACCTGAAACTGAAACACCAGAGGCGTTACAAGTGCGTTGCTGGCCTTTTGGGAATTGAGAATTTGAGGATTGTTGGGGATTCGGGGATTGGGGAAACTGTGGGTAATTGGGCCTCCGGTAACCTCACTCACACGACGAAACACAACGCAAGCGTTGCTTCACGTCGGTTTTCTGCTCGGCCGTGGGAGCCGGCCCATTCGTGCCGAGGCATGGCTCTCCCACACCTATAAAAAGTTTTTGAAAGCCATAAAATAGGACCTTGAACACTTTTCAGATTGTTAATGAATTCTACATTTTAGGAAATAGAACTCTATTTATTGATCTATAAAATTAATTTTACTATACTTATCCTTTAAACCCCAGGCGAGAAGGAGCGCTGGGAGCTAACAGTGGAGCGTTTGGACAAGGAATTTGACAACTTGCCGGGAGACTGTCTCATTGCTACTGGCTTCGTAGCGTACCTTGGACCCTTCGTCTCCGAGTACAGGGAGTCTCTCATGGAAGACTGGTTCTTGGAGGTACAGTCTTTGTCACTTTTACCTAAGTTGTTGCCATTTTGTTGTATGACTATGAAGACATTCAGATACAATGTTAATTGTTTAATGAATAAATGAAATGAAATGAAAAAATGAAATGAAATGTTACCAAATTATATAATTTTAACGTAACATAACATAACATAACATCACGCCTTTTATCCTCGAAGGGGTAGGCAGAGGTGCACATTATGCCACTGTACAATGTAACACCCACTTTTCACTATTTATGTTATGAGTCCCATGTAATAGGAGTGAATCTATTGCCATATACCGGGGACAATTCCAGACTCCGTGCTGAATTTTTTTTTAAAAACCCAGTTATATTTTGCCCGACCCGGGAATCGAACCCGAGACCCCTTGCCCGGCAGTCGCACTTGCGACCACTCGGGCAATGAGGCAGTCAATGTAATTTTAAGTTTATTGCAAAAAAGTATGGTAAGTTGAACAAGAAGGCGAATCTTTATCCGTGTGTGAAGACGCTTTGTTCAGTAGTGGGCACTTATTAGCCTGTTAATGATGACGATGATGGTGAATAAGAAGGCCTGATACAGGGTCGGAGATAACTAATGACTTCAAGATCGACCGATTGGACACTTCCTGTTATCTGAAACTTATTGGGTAGGCCTATGTTCAGCAGTGAATTTTTTGTGTCTGATATTATGATTTTGACGATCCTTACTATAATATTATAAGTTTGTTTGTTTGTTCTGCTTTCACGCCATAACTACTAAACCGATTGCTTTGAATTTTTGCAACCGTAAAGTTCGAAGTCCGCATTCAATATTAGGGTACTTTTTATCCCGGAAAAATTGATATTCCCGAGGGAAAACAAAAGTATTGGTATAGATGGCGCTGTGTATATTGGTATATGTCACATAGGCTACTTTTTATTATTTTGTGACGCGGGTAAAAGCTAGTAATATTATAAACTAGCTACTGCCTATCCCGTTTTCTGTCTTAAGAACCTTCTCCTGACAATAACAAACACAACAAAAAAAAGATCAGCCAAATCGGTCTAGCCGTTCTCAAGTTATGGCGTGACAACGGGAAACGGGTTTCATTTTTATATAATAAAGATGCGAGTCTCTTTAAATGTGGTACAATTTTCCATCCTAGTAAACTTTATAAGTAACGTTAAGCCTTAGGATTCTATCGTTGATATTCCACTATGCATGTAGGTCTGTAATGAGAATCTCCCGGTGACCATGGACCTCAGCATGAAGAAGTTCTTACTGGACGACGCTACCCTCCGAGATTGGAATTATATGGGATTGCCTGGTTAGCATTAGTGTAATAAACTGCATTTATATCTACTCACCTTTAGCAATGTTGTTTATTTGTATTAAAGTTTCGTACCGTAAAATGGGGTGAATAGGGATCTAGAGATGAATACGGACAGAAGAGGGGTGAAGATATAAGGAAATTCTTTATAGTATCGATTCACCCCCCTTCTATAACGGGTAACCGGGGCTCCGGCTCGACGTGCAGGAGAAGGAACGGGGTGGTTTTTACTCAGTAAGAGTCTGACACTCCCTCCCGCCTCACTCAGGCGGGAGCAGTCATTCGATGATTTTCCCCCCTTAAAAAAAACCCTCTTCTATCCCTTTTCGCTGCTCAAACCCTATTCACCCCATTTTACCCTGTTAGTTTAGTTTATATTACGGTAATAATACTTTAATCGACTTTTTTATAAACTACGTAAAAATCTGACTTTAAATCCCTCTTTTTAGGGTCCATTAACATATTAAATCCTTCTCCTAAGTGTGATAACCGCATCAAAATCGATTTAGCTAATCAATCAATGAAAATTTCTTTCTGTGTTGGATAGCCCTTTCATCGAGGAAGCCTATAGGCTATAAAATATCGCGCTACGATTAATAGGCGCAGAACAGAGCGAGTAAAACCGCGCGGAAGTAGCTAGTCGCCAGATAACCACGCACAAACATACGTAAAGGTTCTTACCTTCTCCTTTTCTGAAGTCGATTAAAAATAGTCGACAGTTTGTCAGTCAAAAATAATATATCCTTGTAGATGACAACTTCAGTGCTGAGAACGGCATCATAGTAGTGCGGGCGACGCGGTGGCCGCTAGCCGTGGACCCTCAGGGACAGGCACTCATCTGGATCTCCAGGCTAGAGGAGAAGAATGGCATACAGGTGAGAAGGAACAAACCAACGAAACAATGTTACCAAATACAAATAAAATACAAATACAAATATTATTTATTTCGTCAATGTAGGTAGCTATGTTACAATAGATGGTAGGTAATATTATGGTAGTGCGCCACATTGTGTCCGTACAGTCATACAACATTTTTATAGTAAGTTCTTAATCTAGTGTGTTTACAGACAATAATGTTCTCTGTCTCCATTATTGCACATAATACGCACATAATTACAAACTTAATTAAAAAAAAATAAAATTCTCTGTCGGACACCACGACGCGACATCGCCGCGACCGCGCACGCTGAGGAAGAACCCCTTTGTGGTTCGCGATTTTTAGTTAATTTAGCATGTCTCACGATAGTTATTATAAAAACAGTTAAGAAAGTACAATCATCTTCTAGGTCGTGGACTTTGGTCAGCCGAACTATATGAGGGTGATGGAGACCTGCCTCTCAACCGGCAAGCCAATAATAATTCAGAATGTTGGCGAAGTACTGGATCCTTCCGTAGCTCCTATTTTGGAGAAAGCCGTCGTCACCATCGGTTCCTCGAAGGTCATCAAGTTTAATGACAAGATGGTCTCCTACCACGAAGACTTCCATCTTTATTTGACTACTAAACTTGGTGAGTATTTTTTTATGGACAACCTCCCAAAACCGCTGCAACTCCTGTAAGCCAGGATCTACAGTAGATACAACCATGAAAACACCGAAACACTGAAGTCCGGCGCGTCCCAGGGACTGTCCCAATAAAAAAAATATGTTTTAGGGACTTTTCGTTCAGGAACATGTCAGCCCTATATACCTTCATGAAATAGCATTATGATATAAGACCTTTTACAGATGCTTGTCCTGGTATACCTAAAGAAAATCGTGTTTTAGACATACTATGAAACAAAGCAACTTGGAGACAATTGACGTCTAATATGTTCTGGTGCAGGTAACCCTGTGTACACTCCGGAGACTTTAACGAAGACGACGATGGTGAACTTCGCGGTGAAGGAGCAAGGACTAACGTCTCAACTACTTGGCATCGTCGTACGCAAGGAGAGACCTCAACTGGAACAGATGAAGGACACGCTTGTATTGTCCATCGCACATAACAAGAAAGTGCTTGTAAGTGTATCTATTTGTTCAAAATGGGGCTTCTAGAATTGAGAATATTCAAAATAGTATCTACAAATATATCTATTAGTTCGTCTGTTTTTTTTGCACTGCGAAGATTGTGTACGTACAGAAAAAATACAATTCAAAGGTTCCTTACTATTATTTACTACGTACTACTTAGAATATGAATTTTAGATTACTTATAACGTTCTTTTGTATCAAGTTTCCAAAGTAAAAGTAGCCTATGTTACTCCTTAGTATATCACCTAACTGCCAATATAAGTCCCGTTGAAATCGGTCCAGCCTTTTCAGAGATTAGCCAATACAAACAGACAAACAGATAAACATTTACAAAAACATTATTTTGGTATGTGCATCGTATGTATAATTATATCATTATATGCATGTACTAGAAAGGGTTATTTTGATATTACAAATAGACACTACAATTTTATTTATTTGTATAGATTGTAACTAATAATTCACTTAATTATCTTACTGTCACGCTAGCTACCATTTGCTCAACGAATCTACCAAGCATTTTGCAGTGATTGATATCTATCGTGTATCTAACGAATGTGCCCGGTATATGGCAATAGACTCGTAACATAAATAGTGAAATGTGGGTGTTACTTTTGTATGCACCTCTGCCTACCCCATCGGGGATAAAAGGCGTGATGTTATGTTATTATATCTATCGTAGGTAATGTTATCAACAAACCTTGTAATCATAAAAGTTAAAAAGGCATTATCTATTTCTCCTATAGGTTGACTTAGAGAACGACCTCCTCCGCATAATGTACGAGTCTCAAGTCCCTCTTCTGGAGAACGAGGAGTTGTTCATAACTCTACAGACCTCACAGAGGACCTCACTTGAGGTCAAGGAGGCACTTATCACATCACAGGTCACTGAGAAAGAAATCGACACTGCTAGAGCGGTGAGTGAATATGTATTTGTACATTTCTTATTTAAAATAGTGATCGATAAACAGTAAAGGTACTGTTATATAATCTTATTTCATTTAAAAAAGCATGCTTCAATTGGGATAATGACAGGGTATGAAAATTAAAAATCTAATCAGTCCCTAAGTTAGGTAATGAAAAAATATAAGACACGTATTTTTTATTTTGTCGTATAATAAAACAATACTTGGACTGGACATTAAAATAAAAATTAGGCATCTACCCTAGCTCATTGCTCGTTTCAGGCATGGTGGCGAATCGACAGGCGTTCAATTGTTGAATATTTTTGAGCATGCTCAATAGAACGCCTTATAGCATGATATTTTCGAGCATGTATACTACCTCTAATACTTTACGTGGTCGGCTATAGCCAAACTAAATGTATTTAAAAATCATGTTATATTGTCGTTTGTGGCTGACTGTGGCTTTCATAAGGTCTTACTCTTTTCCAAAGAGTATAAGTGAAATATATTAGTGAGTATTGGAGACAACAAGCGGGCTGATCACCACCACCCGGTTATCGGAGGCCTAATCCTACCCCCTATCCTCAATTCCCTTGTAGCAGGCAGCTTACGATTAGGTGATCTGTGTATTCTTCTTCTTCTTCTAATAGCACTTAATTATTTGGACATATTTCCATTTATTTATACCAGGGTTACGTCCCAGTGGCAATTCGTGCATCAGTGCTATTCTTCGCCCTGAACGACTTGTCCCGTATCGACCCAATGTACCAGTTCTCCCTGGACGCATACATCGACCTGTTCATGTACTCTATAGACCGCAGTCCTAAGGCGGGGGAACTGGAGGACAGGATCAATAATCTTAACGAGTTCCATACCTATGCTGTTTACAAGTAAGTTACCGTTGTTTGTAAAGTAAATCGAAATTAGATTAGATTCAATAGGTTGATGTATTGTACCGAAAATCACCAAAATTTGTTCATACAAAAGTAGCCTCTAAACATCGGGAATAAGGTCTATAATTGAGTTATTGTAGAACGATCACCGGTGACCGTATGGAGAATGAACAGTTAAGCTACTAATTCATAACTGTGACCACACCGGGGCCAGGAGCCGGGCGACCGGCTCCTACGCAACTTGTCGCAGATTTGATTCTCCCAATTTCATTCAACTATGATTCACTAATAATAATTGGGGTTGCAGCTCAGATTGTATAATGTGCGTGTGTAAACGTACCCCCGATACAGGAAAAAGTCCCAAAAGTGTGGGGCAACTTAATAAAAACATCAATAATGAGTATAAGAGCCCTCGCCCATAGGCTACGTTTGTAGCGATGGTGTCGCGCGTACCAAAGATACCGACGCCAAACGGTCGCTAACTGTGTGCCCTCGCCCACGGGACCAGATTCGGTCGCGATGCAGCTACGATACAAGAATATCTTGGATTAGTACAGTTGCAAGATGGACTCCGTTGCGGCAACAATAGTGCTGCTTTGACGTAAGCAGCTGAAACGTAGGCAACAGAAGCAGCGTCAATATTGGATGTCGTGCGGCGCGGTCGCGCGTTTGTATCGATACAATCGCGATGCAGTAGCACGTTAGTAGCGCGTTTGCATCGCTATTGTAGCGCTACAAAGCGCATTTGCTAAATGCATCGCAACAAAAAGTCGCCTGTGGGCGAGGACCCCATGCTCACCACCTACATCTCCAGCTCCTTCCAGCTACAGCTTACCAGGTCCATTTGCGACCACGCGAAATTATTTTAACATTCTATCATGTTTAAAATGCTTTTTATGTATTTTCCCACAGGAACACATGTCGCGCATTATTTGAACGACACAAGCTACTGCTGTCATTCCACATAGTATCCCGGATTCTATTCCAGAATGGCAAGATGAGTCGCAATGAATACATATTTCTCTTGAAGGGCGGAGTTGTCCTCGACAGATCGGAACAACCGGATAATCCTACCAGTAATATATTATAATTAATAATATAATTTAATAGGGAGCTGCTCATCCTAGTCAACAGTGATCCATAGAACGACACTCATTTCGTTAATTTTGGAAGCAATCGCGATTTCATTATACTTACATAATATGTAAAAAATATTTAAACAAAGAGTTGACACAAGTTGATACCGAAGATAAGGATCGGAATAGGTATTTGTCAAAATAAGACAAATTCTGTACTTTTTCAAACTGTCAAAAAAGACAATTTTGTTCGAGATTATGAATTGTGACGTCACGTTTTTTTTAGCGTCAAACACTAAGGTGTTTACTTATTTCTTAAAAACTGCTGGAAAAATATTAAAATTAAGCTGATCATAGAAACTATCAATGAAAATGTGATTATTTTTTAATATTTCATTGTAGTGAACAGTCGAAATCATTTATTTTGGATTAAGGAAAGTACTCAATTGAAGAGCTTTGAGATAAATCATGATGGGATAGTTCCTAGTGACTGAGATGCAATACATTTTTCAAAATAAGAAAACGATTATTTTGTAACGACTTCAAAAAAGGAGGTTCTGTTTGATGTATGTATGTTTGTGAGCGATTATCTCGTGATTGGCTGAACCTATTTTGCTGCAGGTTTCAGAAAAGTATTTGTTACACTCAGGAGAAAGTTCTAGTATACTAATTAAACGACTTCAAAAAAGGAGGGGATTGAAGTTTTTTTTTTAATATAGCTTACTAGCTTTTACCCACGGCTTCGCTCGCGTCACATAAGGATAAAAAGTAGCCTATGTGACATATACCAATATACACAGCGCCATCTATACCAATACTTTTGTTTTCCCTCGGGAATATCAAATTTTTCCGGGATAAAAAGTACCCTATTATTAAATCCAGACTTCTAACTTTACGTCTGCAAAAATTCAAAGCAATCGGTTTAGTAGTTACGGCGTGAAAGCGGAACAAACAAACAAAGTCGCTTTCCGATTTATAACATTAGTAAGGATAAGGATATATTTTTATAATAACTATCGTGAGACATACTAAATTAACTAAAAATCGCGGGTTACTCACGTGAATATACTGAGAAAAGCTCTACTAGACTACGCGACCGCGCACGCTGCTCATGAGGCAGAACCCCTCTGTGGCTCGAAACTAGTAGAGCTTTTCTCAGTATATTCACGTGAGTAACCCGCGATTTTTAGTTAATTCCATATAATATAGTTTTTAGAGAAATTACCGAATTCGTACCACCATAGTTAATGACCGAACCAAGCTTAATTAAATGAATGGACGGTAACAGATTGGATGCCCGACGAGTGCTGGGACAATATAACAGAGTTGGACAAGTTGCCCGGCTTCCACGGCATTGTGGACGTGTTCGAGCCACTCAGCAAGGAGTGGAAGGAGTGGTATCTACATCCAGAGCCTGAGTCACAGCCTCTTATTGGTAACTGATGCCATTTTAAATTATGAATGAAATTAATAACCAATCCTTAATATTACCAAGATCTGTGGATCACACAAAGAGTTGTTCCGTGCGGGAATCGAACCCGCAACACGTTGTGCGGCAGCCAGTTGCTCAGCCACCGCACCATCCGTGCAGTCAACTAATGTTTTCCACAACTACCTTCATTATGGATGGATATTTAACAAAAGGGCTTTTTTTTAAGGGGGGAAATCATCGAATGACTGCTCCCGCCTGGGCGAGGCGGGAGGGAGTGTCAGACTCTTACTGACTAAAAACCACCCCGTTGCTTCTCCTGCACGTCGAGCCGGAGCCCCGGTTACCCGTTAGCTTGATTGTTAGAATCATAGCCCGCATTGTCGTTTCGCCGTAGTCGGTTCAAAATAGAGTTCATTATAAAAACCGTGTAACATAAAACGTATTTTTATGTATAACTAATGAGTGACGCAATATCCAGGCGACTGGAACGACATCTGCAGCGAGTTCCAGAAGATCCTGTTCATCCGATCACTGCGCGTGGACCGAGTGTCTGCCTGCGTCACTACGTTCATCATCAACGTACTCGGCCCAAGATATGTCGAGCCGCCTGTGCTCGATATACGGGTCAGTCTAACTCATTTATTTTTATAAAAGTTAAATTTATTGAAAATTGAGGTTTTCTAGCTTAAATATATCCATTATATAATTTTTTTCATGTGTAAGAGTCATGCTAGGCCGGTTAGAAACTATGCTTTTTTTTAAGGGGAGAAAATCATGACATAAATGACTTCTCCCGCATCGGTGAGGCGGAAGGGAGTGTTAGACTCTTACTGACTAAAGACCACCCTGTTCATACTCCTGCACTTCGCGCCAGGGCCCCGGCAACCCATTAAGCCCTCTGCGACTCCGTATCGGCATTAGCCCTATTGGGCCCCATCCGTGGTGGTGTAATGAATCCTTTTGTCGCGCGCGAAACGCTCGGCGCCATACGCTCGGGTCTGGTCCTGGTCGGACGGGGAGCCACACGTGCTCGCCGTCTGCAGGCCCGCGCTTACCGCAACCGGAGATCGTCCCGCGATCCCTGATGCGTTGTGGTTCTCTGTGCGTAGGTTTCTGGAGACCCAATTCTCTTTCTCATCTCCAACTCTCAGCTGGCAAATCCTAATTGCCTAAAGGCAATTGTGGTTCTTCTAGTGTTGAGTGTGCGAGTGTCAATGGGCTGCATCATTTGTTTATCATCTGATGATCTGTCTGCTCTCTATCCTATATAAAAGGGTATATTTATGTGTGTATTTACTTCTGTCCTGTACCCCGTGGGTGCAGGCGGCGTGGGAGGAGTCGTCGTGGAAGACGTCCCTGTTGTTCGTGCTGTCCCCGGGCGTGGACCCGACGGCGGCGCTCATACAGCTGTCGCAGGACGTCAAGATGTTCGACCGGTTCCAGTCGCTCAGTCTGGGGCAGGGACAGGCTGCCACCGCTACTAGGTACGATGGTTTCTTGTGGTGATTCCGTAAGGGCAACCCGGGTCACGGTCGCAGGCAGTGAAGGAACACCGCGGTGGTTTTAGCCGGTTAGAGTCCGGCATGCCCCCTCGTCGTCCCCACGGCGCGGGAAGTCCATGAGGATTTCCATCGCGATAGAAAAAAAGAAGGTACGATGGTTTCTTGTTTTCTGTTATTATTATTAAATAGTTTTATTTAGCTTGCCCTGTTTGTCTGCTTGGGTCAAACTTAGTTACTGGAATTTTAACAGCTTCCTAACGACAGATCGATCTGATATTTGGTACACACTCTCATCCCGTAGTATGACGGAACGCAGATCTATACGAAACACGATGTGTTTTATACTGACATTCAAGCTATTGACCTTGATGACTATACCTACATTGTGATTATTATAATTTTACAATTACCTCCATTATAAATATCAAATGTAGGCTTGATCGGTAAAATAGAGCTTATAATAGAAATAATTAGTTTGTACACCAAGAACAAAATTGAAAGTCAGTGTAATGTACCCAGGATGCTATCGCACGGCATGAAGGAGGGAGGCTGGGTGTTCCTGGCCAACTGCCACCTGGCGTGCGAGTGGCTGGGGTCCCTGCGGGGGCTGGACAACCCCAAGATCCACCCCCGGTTCCGCCTGTGGCTGTCCTCCATGCCGGACAACAAGTTCCCCCTGCACATGCTGCAGCGGAGCATTAAGATGACCACGGAGCCGCCACAGGTTCTACCTTATATATTTGATAATTCATAATTATACATACAGACATTTGTATTTGTATTTAAACAGTACAGAAGACAACACATATATAAAATTCAAGTGATCACAATTTGAGCTTCAACAACATTTTTAATTTTAAGACATTTTTGTGAATTATGTCTGTGTAAATATGGTTCAATATTAATTGCCTACATAGGTTTTGCTCATTAATCAAGAGGTTTAAACTCTGTTTAAACTGTCAAACACCAAGCGGTCACCGGTGACCGCAACCTATTGTTCTATAATTGTGTCTACAAAACCGGTACTCGACGAGTTAAGGACTTATACAGAGTCTTTAGTAGGTACTAAAGTTAATATTATTGGAATTTAAAATTATACTTTAACGTCCAGTTTCAAGAACCTATCTATTATACGTACATAATCAACATAATCACTTTCGAGGTTTTCTGTGCATCGGAAGTTACCTTCTCACTTGTCTTTAATTTAACACAATAGGTACATCTAATTACTTAATTTCATCTATAAATAACATATTGCATCTATGGGCGCAATCGGAACAATATTCAATTCATTTAGAGCCAGTTTCAATAACCTATCTATCTGTAGATTTCCTTACTAGAGATAGAATTGAGATAGAATCACCAACGATCTTCAAACTCCTAATCCCCAAAAGGCCGGTAACGCACTTGTAACGCCTCTGGTGTTTCTGGTGTCCATGGGCGACGCTGATTGCCATAAAAAAAAAGAATTTTGACATGATCTCCATATAAAATGTGTCAAAATTCCATCTTTAATAAGCAAAATCTACAGATAGATGGGTTATTGAAACTGGACGTTAAAGCATAATTTTATATTATCAAAAAATAGTTTCATTATAATTAACACAATTTTAACCATTAGTACATACTCGCGCAGGGCTTGAAAGGCAACCTGGTCCGTTTATTCGCGAACATAAACGAGGACAAGTTCGACGAGGCGACCCCGAAGTACCGGCGCCTGTTGTTCTGCGTGTCGTTCTTCCACTGCACGCTCATCGCGCGCAAGCGGTTCCGGCAGCTCGGGTACAACGCCGTCTACAGCTTCAACGACGCGGACTTCGACGTAACTACACCACTGATATTATAAATATGACAATGTATATATGTTCGTTGCTCTTTACGAAAATACTGAATAGATTAGGACGGTACACATATAGGTTTTTTTTGTGAGGATCAGAGGATCATCCTATAACTACTCCTAGGTGAGGCGAGAGGGAGTGTCAGACTCTTATTGATTAAAAACAACCCCGTTCCTACTCCAGCACTTCGAGCCGAAACCCCGGAAACCTGTTAGGTTCTCCGCAGCTCTGTATCGGCATCAGCCCTGGTAGGCCCCATCCGTGGTGGTCCGATAGCTCCTTGTGTCGCGCGCGGAACGTTCGGCACCGTACACTCGGTTCTGGTTCTGGGCCTTTAGCCAAATGCCACTTTAGCTTTTGTCTACAGAGAGAGTAGAAATCAAAATGTATGGAGATGACACTGACAAGTGTCAAAATTTACGTCAATTCCATATAATTTGGTTTTCTATTCTACATGTTGACAAGGCGCTAAATGGCATTTGGCTACAGCTGCTGGTCAGGCAGCGAGCTACCCATGCTCGCCGTCCGCAGGCACATAATCACACTTGAGATTTTTATCCCGAGTACGTAGACGAAACCCCTAGCAGTAGTATATTGAACTATATTGCAGTACATTGATCTAAATCCGTTCCTTGGACCATGAAATTTCTTAAAACTGTATGTAGCTACTGAGAAATGGGCAATAACATCTCCTAAACTATCAGAAAAACAACTGCTAACAACTATACAATTTAAGTTACAAAATATCTGAAATATGGCATGTGGGTCTTCATATTTGCGAATCAATCATTAACTGGAATACGTATCAAATAGATCAATATCGTAAAAAATAAGTATCTATTGATAATCTAATTACATTCGTAAATAAATAAAATGTGCAATTATACAGAAGTTTAAAAAGACATCCTTACCATCAGGTGTCAGACAACTTACTGGCGAATTACTTGGAAGAATACGAGGAAGTTCCATGGGACGCGCTCAGGTATCTGTTCGCGATCATCAACTACGGGGGACATATCACGGACGACTGGGACAAGCGAGTGCTCATCGCATACATAAACCAGTTCTTCAATGAAGAGGCTCTCGAAACTCCTTTCTATAGGTATTCTATACATTTATTTATAGCAGCTTCTACTCAGCGCCCATGCCCATATTTTTTTTATAGCATAAGCCGGTAAACGAGCAGACGGATCACCTGATGGTAAGCAATCCGCGCCGCCCATGGACACCTGGAACACCAAGGCGTTACAAGTCCGTTTATCGGCCTTTTGGTAATTGAGAATTTGAGGATTGTGGAGGATTCGGGCATTCGGGACACTTGGGAGGGAATTGAGCCTCCGGTAACCTCACTCACACGACGAAACACAACGCAAGCGTTGCTTCACGTCAGTCTTCTGCTCGGCCGTGGTATCACTCCGGTCGAGCCGGCCCATTCGTGCTGAAGCATGGCTCTCCCACACTTATAAATGTTATGTATCTATTAGATTAATAAAACTTTTATTTCAGACCAAGTCCATAGAGCTAGGAACATTTGACTTAAACTAGTAGAAACAAACATACAATTAAAATATGGCGTGGAGTTGCATCCACCTTTGCATCATCGGAGAATTCCACCGACCTGTGAATACACCGAGAATACTATTGATAACTGTTGATACGAGTACGTGTATAAATAAAAATGAATTTCCGTTCGTTAGTCTCGCTCGAGAACGGCTGAACTGATTTGGACAATATTGGGCTTGAAATGTTCGTGGAAGTTTTAAAAAGCGAGAAAGAAAAATTAGGCGGTACGCAGTTGCCGCGTCAGATAGTATTAAATAAAAAAGTCATATTTTGTGATCCTACATAGCTTACAGAGCCTGGTCTCTGGGCCTCCTATAAATAAGTGTGTGAGAAGTGATTTCTAAGTGTGAAAGAGCCATCCATCGGATGCATATGTTATACGACGATAGTTATACGACGGCCTCAAAGGTACAGGCGTGAAAATAGCAAAGCTTTGTATCACGCCTTGTCCCACGTCCTCCTTAGAAGGCCGGCAACATCTTGTAATTTTGGTGTTGCAGATGTTTTATGTCATAAAAAATTTACTTGACTCTACCGTCCAATGCAGGAATATTTTGAAGGTTTGTATGTACATGTAGGCTGTCGACGATCCCCGCGTACCACATCCCCCGCGACGGGTCGCTGGAGTCGTACCGCGACTTCCTGGACCTGCTGCCGGGCTACGAGCGCGCCGAGTCGCTCGGCCAGCACGCCTCCGCAGACGTCGCCACGCTCGCGCAGGTTGCTCGCTACTACTTTATTTCATTCAATGATATGATGAAAGACGATGTTTGTCATGATGTATGACGTTATGTGTTACAAGCCAATAACTTTGTATGCTTTAGTATTAAGGTGCATGCTCTAAAACAGGGCTGTCCAAACTATATACTCTACTAGCTACTTCCACGCGGTTTCACACGCTCTGCTCAGCTCCTATTGCTCGTAGCGTAATGTTTTATAGCCTATAGCCATCCTCGATAAATGCATTATCCAACACAAAAAGAATTATACAAATCAGACTTGTAGTTACGGAGATTAGCGCGTTCAAACAAACAAACAAACAAAAAAGCAAACTCTTCCGCTTTATATAATAGTGTAAGATAATCTCTCTCTATCTACACGGGCTAATTAAATTTCTTACAAAAGCTGGGGGCCATGAAATAGTTTTCAGTTGTATAATGACGTTTAACATTATATTCTTTACTCACAGACAAAACTTAAATACAAATTATATTTAGGATACTACCCTATTACAGCAGCTGTCAAATATTAAACATCCAATAATGTGACTCTAGCTAATTCCCTATTGGACGAACAACGAAATGCACATACTAGCGACATCTGCAGCTGTAGCCAAATACCATTTAGCGCTTGTCTACATGTAGAATAGAAAACCAAATTATATGGAATTGACGTAAATTTTTACACTTTAAAGTCAAAAACATATTTTGGTACTTTTAAAACGTCAACCAATACAAAACAAATAATAGTCTGTCAGTCAGTCCGTCAGTGAAGCTACGTAAAGCTAGGTCTTGTCAGTGTCATCGCCATACATTTAGTTTTCTACTCTCTCTGTAGACAAGCGCTAAAGTGGCGTTTGGCTAAAGGCACAGGTCAGCAAAAATACAGTAGGCCCCACTAAAGGATGCTCTCGTGCTTGAAATTAGCATGTATATCTGTAAATAAAATATGTATGACACAATTTAATAATAAAATGTTGTATACCATGTTCGTGTGCAAAGAAATATGATCTTATCTTTTTTGTCTTACGATGAATGATGACATTATTGTGTATGCTTGTATTGTACAGGATGCCCTGATAATGTGCTCTACGTTATTCGCCCTGGCCAGTACGGGCGGGGGCGGTGCGGGGGGAGGGGAGGACCAAAAGGTAACTACATCACGTCTTTCATTCAAGTGTGCACACTAAGGCATTTAATGCCACTGTACAATGTAACAACCACTTTTCACTATTTGTGTTATGAGTTCCATGTAATAAAGGTCGAGTCTCTTGCCGTATAGGTATCGGGCACAATTTCAGACTCAGTGCTACTACTGAGATTTTATTACTGGTGATCGAACCCGAGACTTCATGCCTGACAATTGCACTTGCAACCACTCGGCCAAGGAGGCAGTCTTGCCTCGTTTATTTAAACTAATTGCTCTCACCACTTCGACTGTGTTATGGTTGAATCACTTCTTCTTACAAAATACTCAGGGTAGGAATAAGCAACCTGAACAAGTAAGAATTTACCTTGAAAACATTTGCTAAGTATTTCCCTCTTTCTCGGATCCCTCTCTCTTTGTGTACTGATTCCCCCCATACACCTCTTTAGTCACTTATCCAGCAAACCTAGGATTTTCTACCTTAATTATTTAACATTAGATCTTAACTCTCATCTGTCCAGGTGGACGAGTTAGCACAGGAGATGCTGACGAAACTACCAGCCCGGATAGACCTGGAGACGACGGAGCGTATGATGGGCCCGGAGATTGTGATGCCCATGTGTGTCTCGCTGCTGCAGGAGATCGGATACTATAACTTTCTCCTCAATATCATCATTTCTGGCCTCAAGGTGACCTCACTGCCTTAACTCCTAATCTAACAACCTAACCTAATTAGTATTAGCTTAACCTAAATAGCGTTATTGTCAAACAGTATCTATCCCAATTTCCGAAGTTTGTACAAATATAAAGGACATAGTTTTAGGGCCGACTTTTCACTCATCAGTTATTTTTTACCTATATAATAAAATTGACATGTGACAGTTTTTAGTATGGAAGAATTGTCATATGTTCAAAGTTATTCCTCTGATAAAAATCTGGCGTTGGAAAAATCAGCTTCAAAACGGTTTTATTTAGCTTGACCTGTTTGTTCATTTCCGTCAAAAGTAGGATTAATTAATTGGAAGTTTACCGAGTTTATAACCACAGATCGATCTGATATTTGGTACACACTCTTAATGTGGACGACCATTTTATGTGGGTTACTTGTTTTGTCTATTTTTACAGTATACAAACGGCCAAAATCAATATAATTGGTCTTTGGGTAAATTCAATGGATCGATTTATATTGACGGAACTCCATACTACTGATGTCTCCAATTGTAAAGATAAAATAGCTGAAATGTAAAGGTTGTGAATTGAAATTGGGTATTAATTTTGGCCGTAAAATTGTAACAATAATATATCTGCTATAGGAGCTTCGACGCGCAATCGAAGGTCTGGTGGTGATGTCGGAGATGCTGGAGACGATGTACACCTGCATTTACGAAGGCAAGACTCCAAGCTTCTGGCTCAGAGGTAGTATACTGCTATCATTTGTGACATTGTTCACCTATCTCCTAAACTAGGCACTAATTTTTGTCAGTCACCTCTTAGTTCTCAGTTGTATCATTAAGTACCCAGAAGATCAACAGTGGCGCTGGTAAGTCATATTTTTTGTCATTTCCTCCCGATTTGAAATTCATGTCATTTATAGAACGCATAATATTTTGAAGAAAGAAAAGCCTCAGTTGATTATGTAGTGGTGGATTATACGTCAACTGGTCACATAAACATATGAAACTATAATTGCAGTGATATCCTCTCGGTAGTAAACTCTATAGCTGATGATAGTTTATGTATTACTATTAAAATAAAAACTATTGTAAATAACTATTCCTAATTGGAAAACTTGTCAGTTGATGAGAACGGATGGTGATGGTGTGCAAAACGTAGGATGTATGGCATATCGTGGCTGGTGCATGTATGTATGTCCAGGCCGGCCGTCCATGAAGCCGCTGGGCGCGTGGTGCCGCGAGTATATCGTGGCTGGTGCATGTATGTATGTCCAGGCCGGCCGTCCATGAAGCCGCTGGGCGCGTGGTGGCGCGAGTATATCGTGGCTGGTGCATGTATGTATGTCCAGGCCGGCCGTCCATGAAGCCGCTGGGCGCGTGGTGCCGCGAGTTGTTCCTGCGCGGGGCCCACCTGACGGGCTGGGCCGGAGCCCCGCGCGCTCCGCCCACGCTCTGCTGGCTGCCTGCCTTCGTCGCGCCCACCGGTTTCCTCACTGCCGTCATGCAGGTATACCATCATCCCCGTCGTCATTTCAGCCACGACACGTCCACTGCTCAACATAGGCCTCCTCTGATGACTCCCAATTAGGCCGGTTGGACTTACGATCTGCAGTGCAGTCAGTGGCTTTTTAACCTTAAATCAGTCGTCTGACTACCCTAGCGTAGGGGTGCATGAATCAAATAGTTCCAAATCCTTCTTTGGGTCAGGCTGCGGTAATTTATTTCGCTTTATCCACAACCCTGGCTAGATCTTGGAGAGGTCTAAGTTTAGTACTGACAGGTTTTGTGAGTAATATGATAAAACGATGTCTTGGTTCCTTCGACCGCATGTATTTGTGTGGTTGTAGACGACGGCGCGAGGCGAGAGTTGGCCCATTGACACTCTGTGCTGGGAGTTCACCGTAATGCCGCTGGAAGAGGCTGGCTTCGTGCGCCCGCCCAGAGATGGAGGGGTCTATATCAGGTATCTTACTCAGATACATTAACATCACATTTATGTATACGCATGTTTTACAAATAAACAATCTTTCTTTCTTTCTATCACTAAACCTAAAGTTCACGGCTGGACCTCTACAGAAATAGAGGTTTGATGCAATTTCTACGCTTGGCGCGGATTGCAGGTAGCTGTTTAAGATAATCAAGTTTATTTGAAGATTTTGTTAAGTATAAAGTCCCTTCGTTGGACTTACGATACCTGTGCGATGGGCAGAGGTGGTGACGATGTGTTCTTAACTACCGTCGACACAGAGCATGATAAAAAATACGGCAAAGCTTAAAACTTACTTTCAAATTTAAATTCGTTTATATGTATGTTTTAGAGGCCAGTACCTGGAGGGCGCGTCATGGTTCCGTAAGGACGGCCACCTGCAGGAGCCGCTCCCCATGCAGCTAGTGTTCCCCATGTCCCCCATACACTTCAAGCCAGTCCGCGTCACTGGCAAGCGCACGCGCAGTACGTACGCACTACTTCATTACATCTCTACTCATATCTACACTTCATTTAGTTCACAGCACAGACAACATTACCCGAAAACCATAGTATCATATCATATATATATATTCAGCTCATTCTGGTTACCCAAACCAGAGCGTCACGTATTCGTTGCGTGCTCGCTAGTATGATCTTAAGGCCCTGAATCATAGAACTTAGCACTGAACGAAAAGGAGTAAGGCTGCTAACATACTTGCTCTGGTCTCTGGGACGCGCCATATTTTATTATTTTGGTGTTTTCATGGTTGTATCTACTGTAAGTCCTGACTTAGAGGAGTTGCAGAGGTTGTCCCAAGAGAAAGTTCCATCAATCTCTTTCTTGTAAATCTAAGATCGAAGTTGTAGCAATGAGTACGTTTCAGACCGCTACGTGTGTCCATGCTACTATTACCCGCTCCGCATGGGAGCGTTCGTGGTGGCCGTGGACCTGCCGGCCGGGAAGGAGACGGCAGAGTTCTGGGTCAAACGCGGCACTGCCATGCTCTGCACGCTCGCCACGTGAATTCTACACTGCATACTTGTATACTCATTGTTTCTCATAAATATGTTACCAAACATACACTGTGTTTTTAATGTTTCTCATTTTTACAACGATAGACGATATTTATAGATTGGATTATGATATTAGTATATGATATATTGGATATATGTACAAATGCATGCAATGCATAACTATATATTAATATGTAAGTAAGTATCTAGATGTAGTTATTTAATATTTACTTAGTCACCTGCCACTTTCATTTCTGTACCACTTAAAGGTTGACTGTCAGACAATGCCCAAGGCAAGACATAAATGGAATAAATTAATGGATGGACTTCGTGGAAATAAAAACAGACAAGTCTAGCTAAATTTAAGTCCGATCTAACTAGAAATAGTTGGTTTATTAGGGCAAATATGTCGTAGTTGCCTGGAATGTTTGTAGATTTTGATGTACCTACTCTTTCCTCAACCAGAAAATTGGCGGCTAACATCAACAGTTCTTAGTCATATTTCTTTTGGTGTACATTTTACGAGAAAATCTTCATCTTTCTCGCTCATCGCGTACGCAAGACGCGTCGATGAAGTGTGGTCTGCGACTTAGGGTAGCTCACTACCCGACCGGAATCAGACTCGAGCGTACGTACTCAAAGAGGTAACATCCCACCATAGATGGATGTAAGGCTGATGCCCAATCCGCTCCAGCTCCGGATTCGGGTTGCCGGGGCTCCGGCTCGAAGAACAGGAGTAGGAACAGGGTGGTTTTTAAACAGCAAGGAGGACTTCCCCCCTTGAAATAAAAGAGTATTATACAAGAAAAACAGATTAATTTTTAAATAATGAGAAAGCCAGATGATGAGGATGTATACAATGTTGAACATAATTCGCAATACATTTTATGTAATAATATAGAATTTATAATATTTATTTCTCCTGTGAATTTTTGGATTGGATTCGTGGTTGGAAACAGTTTAAGAAGTAGATTCCTCAACATCAGCAGATGCCACGGAATCAGCAGATTCACTATCAGAAGATGCTTCGGCGTCAGTAGATTCACTATCAGAAGATGCATCGGCATCAGCAGATTCACTATCAGAAGATGCATCGGCATCAGCAGATTCAATATCAGAAGAATCCTCGGCAGCAGATTCAATATCAGAAGAATCCTCGGCAGCGGATTCAATATCAGAAGAATCCTCGGCAGCGGATTCAATATCAGAAGAATCCTCGGCAACAGATTCACTATCAGAAGATGCCTCGGCATCAGCAGATTCAATATCAGAAGAATCCTCGGCAACAGATTCACTATCAGAAGATGCCTCGGCATCAGCAGATTCATTATCAGAAGATGCCTCGGCGTCAGCAGCTTCCTCAACAGCAGGTTCCTCCTCAGCAGGTTCCTCAACAGCAGGTTCCTCAACAGCAGGCTCCTCAGCAGCAGGTTCCTCAACAGCAGGTTCCTCAACAGCAGGTTCCTCATCAGCAGGTTCCTCAACAGCAGGTTCCTCATCAGCAGGTTCCTCAACAGCAGGTTCCTCAGCAGCGGGTTCCTCAACAGCAGGTTCCTCAGCAGCGGGTTCCTCAACAGCAGGATCCTCAACAGCAGGTTCCTCTTCAGCAGGTTCCTCAACAGCAGGTTCCTCAACAGCAGGTTCCTCAACAGCAGGTTCCTCAACAGCAGGTTCCTCAACAGCAGGTTCCTCAACAGCAGGTTCTTCAACAGCAGGTTCCTCTACAGCAGGTTCCTCAACAGCAGGTTCCTCAACAGCAGGTTCCTCAACAGCAGGTTCCTCAACAGCAGGTTCCTCAACAGCAGGTTCCTCTTCAGCAGGTTCCTCAACAGCAGGTTCCTCAACAGCAGGTTCCTCAACAGCAGGGTCCTCAACTGCAGGTTCCTCAACAGCAGGTTTCTCCTGAGCAGGCTTATCTTTATTTATTCCTAATATATCTTTTACTACTTCTTGCGTAGTATCAACAACTTTGTTTGTTACGTCTTGCAAACTGTCTACAACTTTGTTCAAGTCTTTTACTCCTTTGTTGATAATTTTACTGATTAGGAAAAGGGCACGCTTCTTTCTGGCCACAATGATATCAATATTTGGCACTTCTGTAGCAAACAAAACATTGAATTAAAACATAAACAGTGGTTGTTACCTATTTCATAACAATTCATATTGAATAATACTCATGTGCAATAGTATTAATACAAAACACATGAAATGATCATACTTGTCATCGGTTTAGTGGTTTAGGTGTAAAGAAAAGATAGACAGAGAGACAGTTACTGCACTCACCCTGCCCTATAGGGTCTACTGGAGACCATACTGAGCTGACTACTTCATCTAGTCCTCTCTGATAGATGCTGACTGCTTCCGCTGGAACCAGCGCCGCCTGTAACAGTATGCGTACTTTCAATTAATGTTTCCTCAGTATTTTTTTTTATATTTGATGGGCCGACGTTTGACCATTATCTCGTCTGGTGGTAAGCGATGGTGCGGTCAACCATGGATTACGTCGTCCCAAACACAACCTTTAGTAAATACAGACTCTATCAAAGAATTTAGAATAGAGTTTCGAGTCCGATACTAGAGCCTATAACTCTGTCTGTGAGAGGGTTGATTTGTTTAGTGATAGATTGCCAAAATTCAAAAAAGCTGTTCTGGGATTGTTGAGAGATGAAGCTTAGCGTTGTGGTGTGCTGTTGACTTGTTTTATTATGTTGCTGTTGACTTGATTTGTTCCGCAACCGATTTTATCTATTTATTTTAATGTTATTTTTTTGTTATTGAGCTTTTAATGACTGTGTCCTTTGTTTTGATCTTTGATTATTCTTTTGTTTTGTATTTATATTTTTGTATTCAGGGTTGACTATTGTATAATGAGTGATAACGAAAGTTGTTACTAATTATATAATTCTTATTTATTGTAAATTTGGTAATGTAGAGAAATTAGATAAATTTTAATTTAATTGATATAGTGTTCTCGACTCAACGCATGCTGTGATGTCCTTCAAATGTTGTGCATTAGCAGTAAGATGTTAATTCCTAATTTTAAGTTAATGATAAAAATGTAGCAACAACTGGATGTCCAAATAAATAAATAAATAAATACCACATCACCGCTGACAAAGGTGCGATAAGGTGATGCATGAAAAAATATAAGGCAGTTAATGTGGTTAGAACACAAGTAGGTGGATATGAACTTTAGTCGTGAAGAAAATTGTAAAGTCTTGAGGTACTTACAACAACGGCGATCAATAACACGATGGTTTTCATGTTGGAGAGTTTAAGAGACTGATGAACAAGATCAAGTTGATCCTTATTTCTCATGGCGCAGCCTTTTATATGGACCAATTCATCGTTTGCATTACAAGTTGCAACTGTGCAAATATAATAAATTACTAAAAAAAAGTAATTACGGTAATTGCATGTTTACATTTTCTTACATTTATAGATTCAGATGTAGGTATCTGCTATCAAGTAGAGTTCCGTGTACCTATCATTTATGACAAAATCATCATTGCGCTCGGTTTGATCATCCGACGATATGAAGTCAGTATACCTACATATATTATATTACTAACGACCCGCCCCAGCTTCGCACGGATGCAGTATGCATGTATTATACATGTAAACCTTCCTTAAGAATCACTCTATCTATTAAAAAAAACCGCTTCAAAAACTGTTACGTAGTTTTAAAGAATACATAGGGACAGACAGAGGGCGGATAGCAACAGTTTTATATTATGTAATGAAGAGTTCTTCTGCTACACTATGGGCCTCCTGTACATAAGGTTTGCCGAAACATCCACTCTTGCCAGGCAGGTTGGCGATCACTGTTTATAAGGGAGTACCACACAAAGACGCCGCCTCTAAAGCTTGTTTTAAATGTATTATGCTGCTTACTTCGATATATTTGGTGCTTGGGAGAAAGCTCAGGATGCTATTGGTGTCTTTTGTGACCTCTCAAAAGCATTTGATTGGGTTGACCACGAGACACTTTTGCTGAAATTAGATCTTATTTAGAAGAAAGACAGTTAAAGGTTCATGTTAACGGTATTAACTCGCAGGGCTCTGGGATGAATATGGGCGTTCCTCAAGGTTCAATATGGGCGTTCCTCAAGGTTCAATATGGGCGTTCCTCAAGGTTCAATATTGGGTCCCTTTTTCTTTTTAGTCTATATAAAGGATTTGTCATTCATATTTAAAAATGAACCAAGAATGGTGCTTTTTGCAGATGATAATACATCATTAATTTTTTTTAAATAGATCGACGTACAAATTATCTTGACGACGTAAACAGCTCCATTCTTCGAGTGCATAATTGGTTCACCAATCTAGCACTGAATGAGAAAAAAACCAAGCGTGTCTTTGCATTGTTCTCACATATACATACAGTATGGGAATATGTATCAGAGTCATTGTAGAACACACTTTTTTAAAAATAGTAACAAGTAACTACTTGTTACTATTTTTTTGCTCATTCCAAACTTGGAATGAGCACCTAGCTTCACCTAGCTTCACCTAGCTTCACTGACGGACTGACTGACAGACTATTATTTATTTTGTATTTGTTGACGTTTCAAAAGTACCAAATTATGGTTTAATTGAAATATCGTCATCTCAGTGCCACTCGCTCCGCATCATGGCCTGCACTAGGCCCGGACGCGAAAGGTCGCCATCGGCGATCTCTTCCCTGAGGGCACGGCGGTGCTCAGCCCACGCAGGGCATTCCGCTACAGTGTGTTCCACCGTGTCCTCAGGGCGGCCCTCGCAGTGATGACACCCGGACGTTTCCTCCCGCCCCATCAGACACAGGTACCTCCCGAAACTCCCATGTCCGGTGAGGACCTGCGTCAGGCGGTGGGTGAGGACGCCGTAGCGTCTCTCAAGCCACTCCTCAAAGACCCATTTACCGCTGCAATGGCAGCGAGCCCAAAGTTAGGAGTGTGAGGTCGTTACGTCACTATGCCCTATAAAATGTAGCGCATAGTGACGTCACACAATATTTCAGATTAATATATCGTCGAAAGTATTTAATTTTGTGAGAAAAAAAATACGTGTCTAAACTAATCTACCAGACGGACATTAAAAAAAAATTAAGCAACTACCCTATTGTGTGCGCGCACAAGTGTCTCTATTCCCATAGTCTACCTTCACCGTACGACGTGTCATACCCATTGATAATACATAATTAATGAGCTAACCTCTGGTCTTAAGGCTACTAGATTGTTCTTATCATGCTACCTACATAGGCGATGGTCAATATGTGGACAAGAAAGCAAACATGCAATTTAATATAATAATAGTTATTTCTCCATGTAGTAATTGTATTTGCACAGTTGCAACTTGTAATGCAAACAATGAATTGGTCCATATAGACGACTGCGCCATGAGAAATTAGGTATCTACCTACTTGATCTTGATCATCTGTCTCTAAATTTGCCAACATGAAAACCGCTGTGTTATTGATCGCCGCTGTTGTAAGTACCTCCAGACTTACCTACACACACCCGATATGGAGCCGCGGAAGCCGTAACAGGTTGCCGGGGTTCCGGCTCGAATAGTACTCCTACTATATATTCAGCTATCAGGGTGGTTTTTAGTCAGTAAGAGTCTGACACTCCCTCTTGCCTAACCCAAGGCGAGAGAAGTCATTGGATGATTCCCCTCCCTTATCAAAATAAAAATAGACTACACTTTTTTCTCGACTAATATTCACCCCTGCCTACTTCTGTTCTAACTACCTATATCAACTGCCTACATAGCCGACACTTTTAAAATGAAAAATGTATTGTTGAGAACACTTTTTTTGCTGTATTCACGTTACCGGTGCCAGCGGTGATGTGGCAAACGGGCCAGCTAGAACGGCCATAACAACAAAGGCTTTACAGAAAATTGGAGTGGTTCAACTGAAACATTGTGTTTCGCGTGTACCTAAATGAGGTTACCAGAGGTCCAGTTCCTGTCCTACCCAATCTTCGAATCATCAATCCTCCTATACAGTTTCTCATTACCCTGGGACTTCAGTGTTCCGGTGTTTTCATGATTGTATCTACTGTAGATCCTGGCTTACAGGAGTTGTAGCGGTTTTGGGAGGTTGTGGCGGGCTTGTCCCAATAAAAAAAAATGCTCCTATACCTAATCCCCAAAACGCCGGTAACGCACTTGTTAATCCTTTGGTGTTGCGGGTGTCCATGAGTGACGCTATTTACCATAAAAACATGAAAACAAAAGTGGCACGGTCACATTTACTATTTTTTTAGGAGCGAAATAAAACTTAGTAGTTGCTGTTTTAAAATGTTTCTTTATACTTTCATGAACATTGTATTTCAATACCTACTACTAGTTATAAATAATATCTACTAAGTTGTTATTGTTAAGTAGATAGTAATGGGGCCTAGTGTATTTTTGGTCACCAGATGACGCTAGTGTGAACCTCTTGTTATTGGTCCAATAGGGAAATAGCAAGTTATTAGAGGTTTAATATTTGACAGCTGCTGTGATTAAACAAAAACTCTTCCTACATTTGCTGGTGAGCAACAATAGCCCCATGTATGTAGATATAAGTTAGTCTTAGACAACAGCGTAGGAATCCAGATCTGAAGAGTTTATCTCCATGAAGACAGGTTGGTTGTTGAGGTTGCATGAACAATAGCACTTTCCTTCTGCTGATCCATCTTCAACAATCATCATCTTCAGGTCCATGTCTCCACCGATGGCTTCCTGGATATCTGTGAAAGTGGTTTGTACTTAGAACTCTAACGTCACATTAGGATAATGACATAGTTAGATTAGTGCACATAAGGTGAAGTATGTTTAGAATTATTTAAAGGTTTATTTAAATTTATTTTTATTTGAATGTCTTATTTTAGACTAGCGACCCGCCCCGGCTTCGCACGAGTGCAATATCACAGTAGAATCACTCTATCTATTAAAAAAACCCCGCATCAAAATCCGTTGCGTAGTTTTAAAGATCTAAGCATACATAGGGAGAGACAGACGGCGAATAACGACTTTGTTTTATACAATGTAGTGATAGTGATGAGCGAATATTACTAATATATAAATGTGGAAGTTTGTTAGTTTCGTCAAAACGGCTGAATGGATCAGTACGAAATTTGGCACACGGCTAGATGATGGTCTAGAATAACACATAAGCTATTTTTTATCCTTTGGGAAAGCCGGCGCAGCCGCTGGCAGAAGCTAGTCTCATACTATTATACTGGGTGGTTGACGTTTAAACGTAAAATTCAGATACTTTATGATGACGAGTATCCAAAATACATTTTCTGTCGCGGAGAACTTAACGGGTTACCGGAGCTCCGGCTCATAGTGTAGGAGTAGAAAGGGTGCGTTTACAAACATACAAGTTCACATACACATGAAACCTAAACCCGAAACAACAATTTGTGGATCACACACATAGTAAGGCATGTACCCACAGCACACAAGTGTTCCGTGCTGGAATCGAACCCGCGACAAGTTGCGCGGCAGCCAGTTGCCCAGCCACCGCGCCAACCGTGCCGTCTTTGCTAAACAAAGGCTACAAGGATACCATACCAGTGAGATCTCTTGGTGTGGTAGTGGTTTCCCTTGGTGGTAAGCCCTAGTTTCAGAAGTTATTTTGGTTAAATAGAAATTATATACCTCCCACTAGTTCTGTACTGGATCGTTCCGTGGAGGTCACCGTGCTCTCACTGGTCGCCAGCTGAGCTGGTTCTTGTGCTGAAGCCATTGCCACCTACAAAAAGACACTGTCAATATATATTAATTTTTTTTGGGGCAAGCGGGTAAACGAGCAGACAGATCAGATAGAAGAAGGGTAGGGAGGCCTTTGCCCTGCAGTGGAACGATCATGGCTAAAAATAAAAATAATCTGGTCTTTTGCCGCCCCGTCCCATAAAAAATTAAAGTAAATTATTTAATCGTCCATTTTTTCAAGCATTCTTCCCAGCTTCCATAAATTATATCCTTTAGCCTTCTATAACACTCAATCTCGGATAAGTTCACGCCAGGATTAATTTTTTTCTTTATTTGCGATGCCACTTTAATTCACACATAAACACTAATACGAATAAGAAATATAAGCTTGGTAAGTACTCACAAAAGCAGCGATAAGTAACACAACGACTTTCATTTTACAAAAGTTATTTGAAACACCAATTTCTTGAAGAAATATTTCGGTGTTTGCTACTCAACGGCGACTCGTGATTTGATTGGATTCGGGTTTTATACGACCTCAGTATTGTGTTAGATAACAACTGTTTAAATACAAAATGTAAGGACAATGGTGAACTGTCTATAAATCAAAATATGTGATATTTCGAAGTTCAATAACGTTTCTGCTTTGATAAATTATTTAAAAATATAACTTGTCTAAGTAGTTCAAAACGTAATTTATGATGTATGCACGGTCCATATTGTAAGTACCTTCTTACTGAGACATAGGTAAAATACATATATAACACCTTTATGTAATAAAGCATTGATAATTAAACAAATAATATTCTCAAGCGAAATTTCTAAAAATATATTCTGTTCTTTCGTCATTACGCGGCTTCTTTCCTAGTCTAGAGGTAGGTATATTAAAGTCGAAATAAATTAAAATTATTTTGTGGAAGGAAATATCTAGTAGGTGTGGATTCTGTCACTATATTTTCGAGTGCTCGTGGAACGACGCAATTACTTCATTAACCGTGAATTTCGCAATTTTGAAGCCAACTGTATAAACATGGTAGGTACATGTAAACGGAACGCTTCCGAGCCGAAAACGCAGATAAATGTTGTTTTTACTTTTTTTAATTTGACGTGGTGGCCCGGAGGTTTATTAGCTACGTCCGCTTCTCATACACAAAGGTGCAGTTTCGAGACCTACCAACGACAAGTACCAATGTGACTTTTTCCGAGTTATATGTTCTTTCTCAGATTATTTAGACACCACGGACGTTTGGCAATGGTGTGGTAAAGGAAAGCATGCATCGTGAGGAAACCTGAGCTTATAATTTCTAATTATAAGTTTGAAATCGCCAACAAGCATTAAGCACCTCCCACTCACCACCCACAGTCAAACCGCTAAACCGGTTTTGTGGGAAAAAGTTAAAAACTCAATATGTAAATCAGGTTCACTGTTGTGAATATAAATAAATAAATAAATAAGCAAGCGTGGTGATTAATGCTCAAAACTTTCTCTGTGTGAAAAGAGGTCTTTGGTCAGCAGTAGCCACTCATAGGCTTTTGATGACGAAGATATATTGATTTGAAATGTCGCGTGACGTCACTTCTCAGTACATTTTATACTAAGAAATGACGTTTTAGCTCTCACTTTTAAACTTTGATTAGTTTTATCTAAGTATTGTTTTATTATACGACAAAATAAAAAAAATATGTGTCTAATATGTTTTCATTAACTAACTTACGGATTAATTATATTTTTCATTTTCATACCCTGTCATCATCCCCATTATATGTGTTTATCTTTACCATTTACGGGATCACAGGGTCCCGGTCATTTGGGAGGCATACGAAGAGCCGAAGCCAACTGTGCAGAGGCCCCATAGACAACCTGAATCTAAATGTAATGCACACACAAACCGGCGACTATCCCTGTACTATATCCACTATGGAAATGCACCCAATGACAGTCCCCGGTTAGTGTAGAACTACTGTAGATAAAGAAAAAAAAGAAAGGGCTACGGATGGGTTACTGTGGACTGGTAAATTGGTATGGATAACTATGGCACCTGCCGAAACAACGTAGAACTGTTTATTATTACGGTATTTGAAAGTTTAGGTTGTTTGAAGTTAGCTACACCTACTTTTCGAAGTCAGGCCGTTGTAGCCTGAAGGTTATTAGGTAGCATCCGTGTGGGTTCGAAATCTGGCTAGTAGCAATGTGGCTTTCTCCATGCCCCATTGACATGAGGGTGAAAGAAGATATCGTGAGAAAACTTAGATTAATAAAAGGTACCTTAAAATTTAAATTAATTTAATTCCCGCCTATATCAAGTGCCAAACGTGGTTATTAATGGCCATTTCTTCTCGTTGTGAGATAGACTTTTGCTCAGCAATGGGACCATTTTTTTTAATGTTGCCCCACACTAGGATTTTCTCCTGTATCGTGGGTGCGTTTACAAACATACAAGTTCACACACACAAGACACCTAGACCCGAAACAACAATTTGTTGATCACACAAAGAGTTGTTCCGTGTATGAATCGAACTCGCTGCACGTTGCGCGGTAGCCATTTGCCCAGCCACCGCGCCATCCGTGCAGTCATTTGATGTTTGGTTTGATTCTTAATTTAGTTAAAGTATTACTGAGTTAGGGCTAAATGGAAGGTGATTGTACAGTGGGTCCAGCGACTTAAACTGTCAAACACCAAGCGGTCACCGGTGACCGCAACCTATTGTTCTATAATTATGTCTATAATGACGGTACTCGACGAGTTAACCACTTGAGCATTCAAGCCGATATGAGATACAATAGAAAATACACCGTGTGTCGTGGACACACGAAAGGTCATATTGTTAAGGCGATTGGAGAAATTGGATTGTGTGAAACTTATTTATATTTCATCCTTTTATAATATTCATACACTAGCTGAGCCTGCGACTTGACCCGCTTGGAATAGTGATTCACAGCTCTTCCCTCGTAGTTGATTGCATGATTGTAACCTATATGTTGACCCGACCTGTTAGTAATATTCATGCAAAATTTGAAGTAAATCCATGCAGTACTTTTTGAGTTTATCCCGGACATACATACAGACAAACGGGCAAAGATTCTAAAAAATTAAGTATATTTTTTTGGTTTCGGTATCGACTGTGGATCACGCCCGAAGCATTCTCTAAAAAAATATTCAATGGACATTTTTCACTTTCCTATGATTTTATTATAAGTATGTATAGAAGATATGTATTGGAAGAATGTAAACATCGCCCATACCCAAACACTGTAGTTCCGTTTATGGCAACACTGCGTCACAGTAGAAAAATGTGTCTATTCTTTTTTTGTAATACTTTACTCCTCGTACAATAAACCGAAGTTTAATTTGTTAACTCTAATAATCGTATTTAATTATAATAATAACTATTATTATAAACGATTAAACGATTAACTAATTATTATTACTTATATGGGTCCGGTACACAAAATAAAAAAATAACGTTCTCCTCGAGTCCACGTTTATTTACAACTTAAAAATAAGATCTTACAAAATAATAATCAAATCACTTAATGTCAAAAGACGTTTCATGAAAAATATTATGCTTTAGATATAAAAAACAATATTTCGTCAAATAATATGTAGATAAAATTAAATAAAACTTATTGTCTGGGACTTATATTCATATTCAGAGGCAGTGTGCTACTGCGGCGTGAGTAAGTATACAATAATGTCGCGGAGAACCTAACGGGTAACCGGGGCTCCGGCTCGACGTGCAGGAGAAGGAACGGGGTGGTTTTTAGTCAGTAAGAGTCTGACACTCCCTCCCGCCTCACCCAGGCGGGGGCAGTCATTCGATGATTTTCCCCCCTTAAAAAAAAAAAAAGTATACAATAATAGTGTCTCAAGACAGTTGTCAAACGCAAAAGATGGTGAAATTTTACAAATGCTGCAATATAGGGAGTGTAAATGTAAATATTACTACTCTTATCTTCTCATGTGGGCGAGCCATGCTTCCTCAAAGCTGGGCCGCTCGGCCTCACAAAAATTGGCGTGAAATTTTTAAAGGTAGGCAAAAGTAATATGCATAATATAAGTTCTCTATAGAACAGCAGTCATCTCAAGGAATAACAAAAAATAAGTATATCAGATACTGACTCAATTTCGAAACTCAAAAATTATGGCACAATAGGTACACCTACTTAGTTGTATCTTGTATGGTCAGTCCGACCCGAAATGACGATACTATTTCCGAAATAACCGAAATATTACCAAAGAGTATACAATTTTAATTCATCAACTTTGTTTCTTTGTTTGTGGTTAATTTACCAGTATATCATACTGGTAAATTAACCAACAAAGAAACAATTAGACCAACTAACTGTTTTTAGAAGTAAAATGTATCTACTACAAAACAAATGCAGTCTTCGAATAAACCTATCTATCATTATTTAATTCATTTCGGTCACAATTTAGGAAAAACGCGTTTTTTCCAAAAAATCTCGTGTCGGACGCCATTTTGTACATGGGTACATAATTATTAAACTTAATATTTAAATACATGTACATAATTATAATAATATGAATGTAGGTATTATGCTGCTATGAACTCATTTGCACAAATAGGGGACTTCTTCAAACATAACAACTTCTTCAGCATTTGGAGAGAATTGATCCATACTTAATCAAGAAACATTGTGTTTATATGTATTTAAGTACATTCTGATTCTGTCATGTTAACTTAAATTAGTTGCTAAATTAAGTTCACTATTCTTATATATATAGCATATTCTATAACAATTTGAAAAGATTTCGACTTGGATGAAGAAAAGAAGTCGATGGATAAACAGAATACACTACAGATAATTATAATTTGTTCAGACTCTACAGTTAGTCTAAATGCAAAAAACCAAGACGGTCTCGAAAGTCCCCTAAATGCTGGCAATGTGGCATAATACAATAGAATACATATAACCAAATACATTCTTGGTTCCCTCACACCACCATGGTCTTCTCTTGGTATCTTCCTCGGGAGTGGTACCTCATTCTTCTATACCTTCGTAAGGGACATTTGCCTACAGTTCTGTCGTAGGCACCGTATTCACAGGAAGGTGGTGTGCAGTCTCCTCGAGCCACACATACTCTGTCCCGAAGACCAAAATGCTCTCGTCCCTTGGCAAGGTACTGGCAGTCTCGGCGGCGACCAGCATCAGGCCAGTCGCAGACGCATGAACAAGGCTCGTACTCTGTCATGCTGGCCAGGAATAGAGCTGGACAAGTACATCTGTAAAAAAAATACTTCTCAAATCTCTATTTACAAGTATAAGATACCCTGTCTGTCTGTTACGCTTTGTTGTCTCGGTATTATAGAGATAATATCCGACCATCGACGTCAATTTATGCGATAAATCTTACGAAGTCATATTTTCTACTTAAACCCTAAGGTTGACTGGTAGAGAATGGCATATGGCATTAAGTTCGCCTTATGTGCCATAATAAAATTGTGTACATAAAAGAATAAATAAATAAATAAATATTATTTCGTGCGGACGAAATCGCAAAGCAAATGCTTTGGCATGTTCACAGCAGAGTTTTGAAACTCATAATAAGAAAAGGTTATTTATTGCTTTAGGCTTCTTATTAAATCAGACCAGGTACTTAAATACTGGGATGACTGCCTCGTTAGCCGAGTGGTCGCAAGTGCGACTGCCGGGCAAGGGGTCTCGGATTCGATTCCCAGGTCGGGAAAAGTAGGACTGGGTTTTTGCAACAACTCTTAGTAGTAGCATGGAGTCTGGAATTGTGCTTGGTATATGGCAATAGACTCACCCCCTATTACCATGGGACTCATAACATAAATAGTCAAAAGTGGGAGTTAAAGTGGCATCAAGTGCTGTAGTGTGCACCTCTGCCTACCCCCAGGAAAAAGGCGTGATTTTATGTTATGTACTTAAATAAAAACTAAGGTTAAAATGATAGTCTATGTAATAAAGCGAACCTGCGTAACTGGGGAGGTGCCGTTGGTTCATCGTTCTTTTCCAAGAGAGGTTCTTCAGTAGGCGTTCTCCAGTCATTCTGACTTTCTACCATGGCTCGGCGTGAGGGTCTTTCCAGCTCCTCCTGACTGTCTCCGTCGCTTGGCTTGACCACTGCAGTGGTGACCGTCATCTGTAGTGTTCCCCGAGAGACACATCCACACCGAGTGTGGTTGAAGAACTGCATCTTCACCACGTTCATCGATCCAGTCGCTTTGTGAAGCTGGAAATGATTAGCACGACTTTTAAGCACGGAAGATTCATATTCAATTTTTAGATCGGTTAAAGCATCATTGAGTTTTACGATATTAAAAACAGAGATTTTTAGAAAAAAACTGCTCATAAAACTATTGCCTTGAAAGATATTAATATTTTTGGAGATAATATTGAAAAACACCTTCAGTTTAATGAAAATGGTAATATACACTGAAGTGACTTACATAGAATGGTAGAACGACTGTCTTGCCTTCGATCGGGGCGCAGACCTCACTCTCGTTGACGCAGCAGCCAGAATCAGGAGCACATCGGTGCAGCTGTACGCACGGTGGCAAATATCTGAAAATTTTAATGATAAGTGTCAGTCAACTGTTAGGCATTCTACTCTATTTAGTTGGTTGTGGGACTGATGACCTTGAGGTTTCATTATAAGGGTTCTATATGAGACAAGCTTTGTTACGTTTTTAATGATTGTGGCAAGATATCACCAAGACGAATGATCTTGAACGCAATGAATTTCACTGTTCCAGAATTTCTTTTTTGGTGGTTATTGTAGTTCCAAGCTTACAGTTGGCAGTGTATGACTTGTCCTATAAATCTATCAGAATAGTCTATATACTGACCTGGTATCAGCAGCTGGAGCCAACTGTCTCACTATCAGCCAGCGTGGCTGAGGGTCCACGCACTTCCCATTCTTCAACAAGTCGTTCATGCTTCTATACGCTGCCTTCCGAAGAGCTGCTCGTTCCACTGGAGTCATGGCTACAAAAATATAACAAAATTAGTAACATGGGTACAATTTAATACTACATATATGTAAGATATCTTGATTAGAGTCTAGATTCCTTCGATCAAGTGCTCAAAATACGAAAACTACTCACGTTCATCCAAGATCCTGGGTCTCGCATTGGTAGCTGCTATTGTCTCCGCAGCAGACACGACTACAGTCTTCACTGGTCCTATCCTGGACATAGCTGATGGAGTCACTCCTAGGATTTGAGGCTTCGAGGTGGAACTGGAGTCTGGTAAGTCATCAGAATCCCAGTCATCGTTGCCGTCCATCGGATAGTCTCCGAACTCCTAGAAATGAGAAACAATAAATCAGTTATTATGATAAACAGAATAGGAATCACGTAAATCTAATCCAACCAAAAACATTTTGTAAAAAACAGGATCATTTCTATTTTGATGATCATGACTGAGTGGGTGAGCGAGTGTCCTAAATGCGAAACTTTGCTTTCGCATAACTTTAGAACTAAATGACCTACAAACTTGAAATTTTCGATTTTTATGTGATTATAGCTTACTGTATGATCACAGATTCTGCTTTAAGGTCTTATCCAGAGGTTCTTAAATAGAGGCCTCCAAAAGGGGCGAAGGGGGTGAAATGGAATAAGGAGGCTACGACAATGTTTGCTTCGCGCTAGACTTGGCTGGGGCACTGTTGTGCCCCCAGATGATATGTCTGCACATCATACGATTCATATTATTAAGTTGTTAACGCATCACGATACAGGAGAAGATTCTTCTTCTTCTGAGACAAGTTTTGTTGTAGAAAATTCAGGAAAGATAATTAAAAAAAATTGCAACATTAATATTATCCGTTCTCATAACATTACTTCACAGATAAGATTAAGATATAACATTAAATAACATCGGATACTCCATAAATCCATCGTCAACTTCAAATTGAATTTGTTCAACAAACATGTACAAAGATCATGCAAGTGATTCGCATAAATGAATAAAATTTGTTGGATAACCCTATATAAGGCGGTTATAACATAGATATAAATTTAACTGTCAATTTGTGCAGCACATAGTTTTCACATACAATGACCCAGATAGTAGAACGGTTAAATAAATTGTGCAGTTCGCAATTTACGAGCGACGAACACAATTTCTGTGTAAACGAAACGACAGCATAATATCCGTAGTTTAAATGTGAACGGTTGAATTAAACTAATCAGGTTATATAAACAAGTTGGGGCTGGAGTTAACTTTAATCCGTGGGAATTTCTGTATGTACCTACGTACATTTACTTAATGACCATGATTAAAGTGTCACTATAGACTGAAAAAAGTATGAAGGTGAATTTTTCTTTTTAACCGACTTTTTTTTATAGCATAAGCCGGTAAACGAGCATACGGATCACCTGATGGTAAGCAATTGGCGTCGCCCATGAACACCTGGAACACCAGAGGCGTTACAAGTACGTCACCTGCTTTTTGGGGATTAGGATTTTGAGGATCGTTGGGCATTCAGGGATTGGGGAGATTGGGGAAGGGGAAGGTAATTGGGCCTCCGGTAACCTCACTCACACGACGAAACACAACGCAAGCGTTGCTTCACGTCGGTTTTCTGTGAGGCCGTAGTATCACTCCGGTCGAGCCGGCCCATTCGTGCCAGAGCATGGCTCTCCCACACTTCAAAAAAGAAGGAGGTTTGACTTGTATGTAAGTATGTAAATATGTCTGTGCGTGATTATCTCGCAATTGTCTGAACCGATTTTGATGCGGTTTACAGAAAAGCGTATGTTACACTTAGGAAAAGGTTTTAGAATTTATATACTTCAGTGTTGTGTTAGAAAAGAAATCAATTAAAACACAAAGTACTCTAAAGCATGCATGAAAGGATTGGTGAAATTGAATCGCCTAGTTTCACTGACAGACAGACTGACGGACAATTCAATTTTTACGTTTCAAAAGTGGCTTACTCAGGATTAATTGAAATAAATGCTTTGACTTGAAGATCTATACTACACCTAATTTTGGTGTTTCTTTATCTAACTTAACTCAATGGGACAATTATGTTAGAGAAAGAAGTTCATTATGAACAGTATATAGTTAAGCCAATATGCCGACAAAACTCCTCTTCGCATGTAGAAGGTTTAATCAATTTAAAGGAAGCATTAATCACCAGGTTTGGGAGAAAGAAGTTAAATAATAATTCTTTCATAAACTATATTTAAAAAAACCGACTTCAACCCCCAATTTTTTACAGTCATTGTGTTTTAATTGATGTATTTTCTAACACAACATAGAACTGCAATAATGGAACTACAAACAAGAACAAAATAACTCAACGTAACATTACTTTTACCGCTAATTCTAAACAAAATGCCAATCGCAATTTACAATCAAGTTAACTCAATCTAATCTCAATACAACAACACTAATAACTTAAGTACAAAAGCATGTAGTCATAGCCCAGGAATGCATCGTCCGGGCTTGAACCCGCTACCCAGAATAGCAGCCGTATTTATAGTAGCCATCTGTTTCTTTTCACTGAACTCTGTTGACTCAATCAATGAACTTCAAAGTGGAAAAAAATCAATAGAAGATGTTTTTAATCTTAAATACGAAGGAGTGTTTGCTTTATAGTTTGTTTATATTCTTAAAGTGTATTTTTATAGAGATTTGCTTTCATCTAAAGGCTTTGAAAAATAAACAACATTTTTTGATGAACGAGGAATACCTATTAATTTAGGTATGGCCCATTATGAAGCCCTGAGGAACTCCTTTTAACAAGTGATTAGATTCTATCGTTAGTAATTTAAATGACAAATGAAGATAAGAGGGTCTCGGATATTATGGAGTTTCTTAGTCGTTCTTCTCCATAGGAATCTACACTTTGGAATGAGCAACTAGCTTAAATTTTTTTTTTGACATCAATAGTGTTTCCTGGTCAAATTGAAATAAATGATTTTGACTTTGTCTTTGAGCTCAGCACGACCTCAAAACAGACTAGCAAATTCTTTTTTTCTTTAATTTAATTATGAAGGGTTTTATCAAAAATGACAATGTCACTCACGTGAGGATGGACTTACTAACTTATGATCTACGCTTCATAGCTAAGTTAACTAGTCTATACACTATTTTAGCCATCTTTAATGATGGGTTACTGAGGACGATGTTACATTTACTGAACTTGCTAAGATTGATATTATGTTCAATGTTCAGTGTGACTCAGGCAAACCATTTGTTCAGACTAGAAATGATTGTGTTGACCTCATAATTTAGCAATTGAAATGTATCGATAATGTAGTACGGTTAGTAAAATTTTAAAACAAGTAATGTTTTATTTAGTTCTCGTAGTTTAGTCCCATTTAAGATATCAACAAAACAATAAGATGATGTTGATGACCTGATTGGAAAAGAGTAACCTATGAAGTTTCTCGCTCGTTCTTCTCCATAGGAATCTACACCTTAGCTTCTTTTTTAAATTTCTATTGCTGACGTTCAAAAGTGCCTTCCTGGTCTAATTGAAATAAATGATTATGACTTTTGACTTTTGAATGTTGAAAAAAACATTAATGATACTTCGACCAGCCGATATTCGATTATATTCGACGTCTTGCACAGAAGTGCCAAAAGGCTATTCAATCAATAAATCATACACATACACTCTAATATTATAAATGTGAAAGTTTCACGCTGGAACTACTGAACGGATTGTAATGAGATTTGGTAAACAGGCAGGATCTTACTTTTACTTAAGTGATACTTTTTATTTCGATTAAATACTCCTATGGGATAAAAGAGGAATCATATTCAACGCGGATAAAGTCTCGGGTAACAGCTAGTTAGGTATTTTTTTTTTAAGGGGTAAAATCATCGAATGATTGCTCCCGTCTAGGTGAGGCGGGAGGGAGTGTCAGACTCTTACTGACTAAAAACCACCTCGTTCCTTCTCCTGCACGTCGAGCCGGAGCCCCGGTTACCCGTTAGGTTCTCCGCGACTCCGGTTACTTTCCGGACTACCGGACCGGACCGGAATACCGGACAGCTAGTTAGGTATATAATGTACTGGCTGCCTCGTTGGCCGAGTGGTCGCAAGTGTGACTGCCGGGCAAGGGATCTCGGGTTCAAACTCAAACTCAAACTCAAAAGCATTTATTTCAATTAGACCATAATTTGGTACTTTTGAAACGTCAACAAATATGGGATATATAATAGTCTGTCAGTCTGTCCGTCAGTGAAGCTAGGCGCTCGTTCCAAAATGTCGATTCGAGTGGAGAAGAACAAGCAAGAAACTCCATTCGTTACTCTTTTTAAAAAAAGCCTGTTTTACATTGCTCTGATACATATTCCAATATTGGACACACATGTGAGAATAATGTAAAGACATACCTAACGCAACATACAAATAACAGAACATACTAAAAAAGAAAAAAAAAACAAAACCAAGAGAAAACAAATATCTTAAGTCTGACATGGTCCTCACATATGTATACTGACAATCCATATAAAATAGTGCTTCTATACTAGAAAAAAATAAACTATTGTTTAAATAAAGAAAGAAATGCTCGATGCCACAAGAAAAATAGATTGCCTTCATCGGAATCAAAGTGTTAAATTACCTATTATCGTAATCTGAACTAGGTACTGACTACATTTGAGTATTGTCCAGTGGAGCCGAACCAACACGCTGCCAAGCATTCCTATCCTCAAGATAATCAATCACCCTGTAGTAAGCTTGTTTACATAATTCGCGCTTAATATATGTTTTAAATTTACTTTCATTGAGATCTAGATTCCTAGGTTCCATTCCCATTCCCGGGTCGAGCAAAGTATTACTGGATTTTTAAAAATCTCAGTAGTAGCACAGAATCTGGAAATGCCCGGTATATGGCAAGCTCACCCCCTATTACATGGGACTCATAACATTCATAATGAAAGTGGGTGATACATTGTACAGTGGCATTAAGTGCCGTAATGTGCACCTCTGCCTACCCCTTCGGGGATAAGGAAAAGCGTGATGTTATGTTATGTTATATTATGATTAATCTTCTTTTTTTTTGTTAAAAACAATCAAATTTAAATCACAATTATCAATATGTTTTACTGAACACAATCTCAAACTGCATCCAAAACACCAAGTAATTTAGCATCACAAACGTGCCAAGAAACAGCCGCGTCTAATTCTCAAAAGTATAAACTTCACCTCGTCAAATCTCATAAACTATTACCAGGAGTTTGAGCTCTAAAACTTTGATCTTAAGCTTCTTAATTGACTGTAGGAGTCTCAACTAATTTCACTGCGATTACGTTGGGATCGTATACTTCCGTTGCACCTG